TCTGGAAAGCCTGCTGAAATGCTGGGAGGTAACCTTACGATGGAATAGCACCATCCAAGGGGTAGAAGTGATACTCCTATTGGCTTTATTTTAAGGAAACAAGAATAAGGTCTGGGACTAGGAGCCCTTTCGCTCAAGTACAGACTTGACCTTTTTTACTTTACTTTACATTCAATACACGCATAGATTAGCAATATACGGACAATCGCTGGCTTGAATGTGAGCGAAAATAATTATTTTGAAAAATTCGAAGTGATCTTACTTTTTAAAAAGCGCCGAAAGTCCTTCATTTGAACAAGATATATTATCACGTTGACGAGACTGTTGGAAAACGCCAACAGAGCACCCACATAGCGGGTGAGAAAATCACTTTCAAAACTAATGGTGTGATCTTGTGATCTTGTCAAAATTCTAAAACTAAAGTAACCAAAAGAAAGCGCATATGAAAATACAAACATAAGCATAATAGAAACCAATATCATGGTTAATCGTCTGTTTTCAGCCCTCTTCATGACTTTGATAGCATTATCACATTGAATGTCGATAGCCCTTTTCATTCTTGACCGCACAGTCAAGATCAAGCATATAGTTAAAGTAAAAATCACAATACTTGGCAAAAAATATTGAAAAACTATAAAGGCCAGGTTCACTACTCCAAATGACACATACTGATGATTAGGCCCGCAAACTACAGTGTAATGTGTGTCATTTAGATCATATCTAATCCCCTCAAAAGCTGCAACGGGGAGCAACACGTAAACACATGTTGAGAACCAGATGAGGTAAAGCAACTTCTTAACAGTAGAATGTTTTAGTGTACGAGGTATCTTACGTGTTGAAAAATTTTTTCCAAAGCTAATAATCAACAGATTATTTATGGTAACTGAAGGAAAGAAAATACCCAAGTAGCAAAGGATTTTGCAACCCCATCCTCGTTCAAAAACATCCATAAATAATTGACAACCAATAAGCGGAAGAACCATAAATGCGCAAAGTGCATCAGATATAGCGAGGCTGGAGATGTAGACATCAAAATTTTTCCGGAAAGAGCAAGACTTAAGGAAGGACGCTGCTCTTTGGTTCGACTTAACAAAACAAAGTATGAGAACATTTCCGAAAAACGCTAATATACCCATAATTACAGAAAACACCAGCAACGTAAGTTTGGTTGAAGAGCTTAAAGGTAAAAACACATAGATTTTGCTACTCGAAAGGCCTGTTTGGTTGGCATACGAAGACACGTTCTGTGTGGAGAAACAACAAGCGGCATTCATGCCTTCCAATTTGAGCATCTACCAGCGACCTGGAATCCACAAAACCTATGGAGAAATGAATTTAACACAATGAAAACCACAAGAGCTTTAGGGGTTTGGATATCCTCTTATAATCACTCCCAGAAAAAGTTTTTGAAAAATAGAAATGGTATTGCTGAAGTATAGAAAGGTTATTTATTACTAAATGACCAGTGCTTCATGTATCGGAGACACACTTGAGGAGAAATGAAAAAACGCATTTCTGCTGAAAAAATGAAATTGAGAAAGTTTACCATGCTGTTGAGAGCTGTACATCTTCTTTGGAAAACAATTCCGCTCGTGAAAATAGATTTTCACGAAAAAGACTTCTATGGGGTTTTTTTAGGTAAGGGGGGGGGAGTGAAACATGTTAATCAGGAATGATAAAGATTACAGGAAATCACTTCTTGAAAATGCTTACCTTATATGGTCTAGGACTTCCTTTTCTGGATGAAAGTACACTGGATATCTCCGACCTGCATTCCAAACACACGGTTAGGGATTAAGTTATGGATCTGGTTTTGCTAGCTGAAAGATCACGGAAATATTCCGATTTTAAGTAACGCTCGAAACTTCAACTCTTCACGGTGGCCAATTTACATCATTAACTCATTTGGTAAAACCAAATTAGCTTGTTATACTTCCCCACCGACGCAGTACACCAGTTTCATTAAGAACTTAGCCGCTTTTACGACATTTAAATTGGTTGAAAATAAATTCTGTTTTATTTTGTTTATCTATCTATTTATTTGTCAATTTGTTGATTAGTTTCATTCAAAGTCTTTTTTTACAGTATGATTCCGAGCTTAGATGACGTAAAGTTTTGCAGAAAAAGAAAGGGGCTTAAAAAAACCTGCACAACTACTGAAAAATCTTAATCACATCTGAGCCAGGCAATTATCATGCACTGTGGTGTATAGAAATGAGAAATTTTCCAAATCTTGAGTTTGTATACGAGCATAAAGACATGTTATATGGTGAAACTCATACATAAATTTTCTCTGGTTTTGTTTTTTTATCGGATTTAGAGGAATTAAAGAAAAAGAAAAACAGCTGTTTTATTTCAATTAATTCTGCGCGTAAAATATTCCCCCTTTTTTGAAGATTTTTTTTCAGATGCGTTATTCTGATAACACCCATTTTCGTAAGAACGGGTTTGCTTTGGCATTGTTTAGAAAACTTATGGATTTAAGCGTTCGTTTTAATGGAAAGCTGAACTAAAAAATTCATAACATGAGGTTTCTGAGCGAAACTTTGACTTCACTATTATTTCGAATACGATGTAACTGTTTGAGACCTTGACTATTTAGTAACCGTTTAAAACTGCCAAGGAAAGCAATCAAAACAAATTGTCGTGATGAGACAACAAATACGAGAGAAAAATAATAAATTTATCGAAACAGTATTGAAAACATATTGCAGTTTTAATTCCAAGTGTGTTTGTACGGGAATGTGGTTATGTGTGTTTGCTAATATTTTAAAATTTCTCAGCCCGAATACTTCATAATTATCATACATTTGAAGACATAACATAGATTAAAACATTAAAATACCTGTTCGTTTTGTTGGCCTTTACATTTCTGTCCTTCTGAAAGCTTATATATCTGCTGCAGGTATAGATTTAACGGATTTTAACAATCTGAGAGTGTTGATGTGCTCTCTTCACAGGATCTCCATGCTTCCTTTTAGCTGAAGGATTTGAAGCAGAAACATCACTTAATAAGCTATTTTGTGGTGAATAAACAAAACGTTTTCTGAGGCACTTGAAGAGTGGGTTTAAACGTTAAAGAATTGTCTCCATTGAGATTCAAGTGTGTGCGTAATGAGGAATATAGGTGATATTTACAAATAGAAGGTTTAATGGAAATTGTCAAGTTTAAAGGCTTAGGATTGTTCATAGTTTAATTCCAAAAAATGTAATTGAACTTTAAAACTGCTAAAATACTAATCATAAAGCCAACAAAAACTGAAGATTAGCATTCAAGTAAAAGTATCTTTCAAAGCGTAACTCATTCACTATGAGCTTAGGTGAGAAAATGTTATTAGTTCCAAAATTAAAAATACGAGACCGGGTTAATACTCTAGATAATACAAACAGATGAATACATTGTGCGTTAAAAGGAAATTTTACCTTTTGTACGTTCCTAATTTCCTTCCATGCATGTGGTAAAAGCGAACATTGTGCGCTAAAAGGAAATTTTCTCTTTTGAAGTTCCTAATTTCCTTCCATGCATATCGGAGAAGCGTATATTGTGCGTTAGAAGAAGATTTCCTCTTTTTCCTAGTTCTTAATTTCCGTCCATGCATATTGGAGAAGCGGTTACTTCTGCAAAACCGAGAAGAAAACATCACTCGAACATAACAGTGTGCTCATCGATATTTCCAAGGTAAAACCCTGTTAATAAAGTTTCGATGATTTAAAATAACACATCTAGGAGGCAAAGCAAATGACACGTATTTTGCAATGAAAGGAGTCAATCAATATATGCAATTGCTTTATCATTTAAGCGCCAGGTTTGTTTTCGTGATAATTTCAAGGCAGGAAATGACCACCACCAAGTGTGAGAATTGCATGGAGGAAATTAACATGCCAAATCACTCCAGTCAACTTAGAAAGCTATCTGCCATTTCCTTTTTTCAGAGAGGAGCCTGGATACAAATATCTAAGCTGGAAAGAGTCTCATTTGCGGCTAAACATTGTTATATGCCAAAGCACACCATTGTTTGTGGCAGTTATCTGCGGTCATGTGAAGATTCTCAACCAGTTGCAAGTGAAGGAAATATATTTCGTTTAAGTCAAAATCAGAGTCGGTTATGCAGATGTCCACTACTTTTTTCCTCTTTTTTGAAACTGGTTCTTGGCCTCATTCTATTTCGACAAATAGCTACACTGAAGTGCATTTTATTGATGACGATACAAAACGGAACTGCCCATATTAACCTAAAGGGGCGAGTTTCTACAGTAGCTCCAGACCTGACCGGGACAATTTTTTGTGTTCTTGGGCAAAACACTCTACTTTCACAGTGCCCTTTGGCTCAAGTACAGACTTGACATTTTTTTACTTTACATACTCAATGATCATAGCTGTCGCTTTAATATACGCATAGATTAACAATACACCGACAATTTCTGGCTTGAAAGTGAGCGAAAATAATGATTGAAGGGAAGATTTCCTCGAGGATTGGATGCCCAAGTTTCTCGTCCGACTATCGTAAACTTAGTACCGAACGCCTGCTTGTCCAACCTTTTCAGAAATTAACCTGACCCTTTCCGCCCTTAATGATTTTATTCTTGCATCTGATTGGTTAAGAAAGTGGTGCGAATTTTCTGGATCAATCACACAAAATCTCATTAGTAATGCTCCATAATGACTACTGTGCAACTCCTATGATTTTAGTTCTGATAATTTGGTACTGGATCAATTGATAATCGACTGATTGATATTTCTCTTGATTCTCATTACTCGTCTGCTTGAAATTACATAGGTATTGTAGTGAGAAATTCTGTCTTGGTCACTCGTGGTAGTTAAAGGGTTAAAGGGCCGCGCTAAACCAGGATGCATTGCTGGGGTAGTGGCTTTTTTCAGTATTTCCTATACCACAGAAAAAGAAAGGCTACTGTGTGTATAATATTACTCGACTAAATCTTTGCAATCTTGATCGAGAACTGGTTTTTTATTCCTTCAACTAGTTCCTTTTAGTGTTAAGTTTAAGTTCCTTTACTACGCATTTTTGTCATTTTACGTTGGCGGAGGATCAAATGATTTTAAGGGGTGTGGATCACATAGTTTTCAGGGGGGGCGGATGGGGGAGTAGTCGTCGCTAACAGAATATAAATGGAAAGACTAAGATTATCGCTATGTTGAGCTTAAGCTGACGAAGTAATGTCATGTCGTAAAGTATCTCTCCAAGGCATCTTCTGCTGGGTAGAACACAAACGGCGGAAAGTGAACGCCGTCAGTAGTGCCTCCTGGGTATGCTGCGCTAATCTGGTAGACGTCTAAGACAGGGATACCAGCTTCACACATTTTCTTCATGGCGTAGGCGTTGAACAGTTTAATTCGCTGTAAAATTCATTTTAAAAGTTTTAGAGTCTAAATCTAACTATCTAAAAAGAAGACAAACAAATAAACAAGAAAGCATATAAAAACAAACAAAGTGGCAACGTAGCCTACAGTACAATGCCTGCAAATATAAATGTTTTTTCTTTCGACGCGGGTTCGTACTTAAGACGACAACAAGAGATTTAAGCGAGATGGGGCGTGGCACGGAATAAAACGAGAGTTTTTCAGTTCTTTCTGAATGAAAGGTTATTGTGATTTTTGTTTTGGTTTCTGTTTTGTTCTACAATGGGCATCGTAAATTATTATACAGATTTCAAGACATTTTAGAGGTAATTGTCTGATAATTAAGGTATCAAAAGGGGCTTAAATTTTGAACAAAGGTGCTTTTTTTTTCTCCACGTTCCGTCATCATTGCTTCGGGGAAATAGGAAGAGTGTAGAGAGTGCAGTTTCTTTACCTGCTCAGTGTGAAAACGTCGACAGCAACCCGTGTAGAGCTCAGTCTGTTTCCCGAGGGAGGGTGTTGTCTTCCAAACAACCCTTCCTCGATAGCTCTGTTTCAAAACACGAATGAAACCTTTAATTATCTTTTGGTAATTTCTAAAGCTCGTGCTTTTTAAGAGATGGACTCCTGTGTTAAGTACCAAGGCGCTATCTTCATCCATTAATGGCTGCGTTACAATTGAGCGTAGTTCTTCCAGGACTTGTGTCACATTAAGATCATGGCCTCCGTAACTAGGAAGAGAAAGTAATACATGTGTTATTTCACCTCAGGCTTTCCTAACTCGTCCCCAGCCTTTCCTTCATGCCCTTCGTCGCTTTGAGTTAGCCAGAGACCAATAAGTGAGGACTTGGCATTAGTGAGCTCACTTCTTATTCAACAATCGCACATGTCCGACGTAAAATCTAAAACCATCACGATTTTTTCACGCGCGTTTTCACACGCTTTCAGCTCGTCACTTGTATCTTTAACGATTTACCATTGGTCCATTAGATTTGATTCTTACATTCATTTGTTATCAGTTGGCTACGTTTAAAATGAACTAAGGTTTATTTTACCGTTTTTAACAACGATAGGGGTACGGGGACCAGGGGTACGGGGGCCAGGGGTACGGGGGCCAGGGGTACGGGGACCAGGGGTGGGGAGAGTGGCGTATAATTTGGACGTCAACGGTGTCTATTAGGCTCTTGAACATTAGAAGATGGCAGCAAAGTGTTATTCTTATATATAGAGAAAAAATTGCTAAATTAAACTTGCTGGGTCGGTCTCCAAAAACTACATGAGAAACAGAAATGCATTATCGCTGTTTAAGCTCTTGTCCATATCTCACTCATGTCTGAAAGAGGAGGGAAGTTTGAGCACGAAACGAAATACCTCCATTACCAAAGATCCATCTCATTTGAGTTCACCGTTCCCAGCCAGTAGACCCATACATTGGTATGATAACACGCTCGGAATACACGAGAACACAGCTGTCGGCGTTGCACTGATTCGTAAAACCGTCGATTGTGCGAGTCACCATATATCCATAAGACACCAGATCCCTGCCTATGGCCTGACCTTGGGTCGCTGGAGTCAGCTGGAGAAAGAATACAAAACACATTCCCAGAATGATGAAGTAATATGATGTGGCTTTACGCAAATCTTTCTGATTCCTCGATTAGTTGTAACTTACGGGCGAAATCCAGAACAGAACAAATTCTAATCACAAAAAGTAAATGTATCACTGCCGAAAGACGTCATTAGGATCAACAATTTTAGGTGCAGCTTGAGCTAGGATTGATTGTGTTACCTATTGTTTTAAATATTTAGCAAAATTCGTCGATCAAGTGGATTTGTGCACGGGATTAGAGGTCGGAATTCCGGACTCGAACCAAGCTGGCCAAGTATGGCTTGGTGTTTTTGGCAGATTGCGTTACTCTCACCAAAAAGCGCCACTCACCTCCCGGGAGATAATTGTTCATTGCCAAACTGTTAAGGAAGCCTGAAAAAAAAAACGCTGGAGGAGGGGTGGGTAACCCTTTATTGGACTAGCTTTTCGTCCGGGGAGAAGGTAGTAGCAATATCCTTGGCTCCTTCATCATACAGAAACCGGTGAGCTCTTACAAGATGAGCTATCTGATTCGTCAGCTGCCTTTGCCTTACTTTACCTACATGTTTTAATTAGGAGTGAAAGAAGGACGTTCAAGGATGTAGTCATATTTTGTGCAAAATTAATTCCTTTGTGCGTAGGCAATTCAAACACACTTGTCAACCTACTGGTTTTATATGGTAACCAGTTGTTGTTCACCCATCTTCCAAAACCGTCCAAAAGAAGGTTGCATCCGTCAGAACACCACTGGGTACTGCTGCTGAACAGAGAGTCTAAATCTATTGGGAAAAAGAAAAACATTGAGCTTAGTAGCGTGATATTACAAAGGAGAACCATCAAAGAACGACGTGATGATATTTGTACTACATCGTCTGCAAATCGAGAGCTTTTTTAAACCTGAGATAATTCAGTTTTCCAATTGATACTCCTGCATTGTCATTTGCGCTAAAGAGCTAAATACAGGACTAAAAAGAAAATTAATCACTCACACTGGGCATCCTGTGGCACGGTAGGAGGAACTTGGATCGTGAAATATGCTCCATAATAAAGTGGTCTATTTATATAGTCGTCCGATGTCGCTAGTGTTCCTGGTCTTTGAAACGATCCGTGTCGACAGCCTGCCAAATTCGCCATAAAAAAATATTCAATTTGTTTCTGTAACAATGTTGCTTTACTTGTGCTCGTTTTTTTGAAAGGCTCTGTTGCGTCAGTTGCGACTGAGGGCGTCGACAGCGACAATATTGTGAGAAGTTTATATATTTTTTTTAACTTTCCTCCAAAATCACGAAGTTTTCGAGATTCAGAAGTCGAGAAAAATTTATGTTAGAAGGTATTGTATGAATAGACAGATAAGCACTCGATTAACATGTTAACATTTTTAGCGTAGAACAAAACCAAACTACATAAGTTAAGAAACCTTTCTTCCCTAGAATCAAGAATATTTGAAATATACATGCAAAAAACTTTATAAGAATGAACAAGTTATATACAGCTCTACCAAATGCATGAAACATGGTCAGACCTCTCATAAACCAATCAGGAGGCGGGTTTTTAAGCCCGTGACAGAGCGTATAGTCCAACGTTATCTGTAAGGAGTAGGTCCCAGGCTCCATGGGTAAAAACTTGGCTTCGTATGTACCATTTTCCATATCGCTAACGGTAGCAACAAGATCTGCAGGGCCCTGGACTCTAACGCGCCACGCATCTCCACCGAACGCCTTTGTCCGGTTCAGAACTGTCACAGACTGTATATATATCTTGCTAAAATGTCCTGCAGGATTGATTTCCGCCCCTGAAATAAAACTCAGGTTGGGATGAGTCTTGAAGTCGTCCGACCAAATCTCGTAAGCCCAATGTCGCGAGTAACTTGGACACGAGTGAGTGTAAGTCCGCCAATCAGTTCGAAGGGTGCGTTCTCGGCACCAGTTCTTCTCAAAATAGACGTAAGGGTCTTGTCCCAAAATGAGACGTCCACAAATAAAGAACAAGCAAATCACAGGTCCTGTCTGTTTTGGAATGGTGTCCATTCTAGCAGATTTTTCTCACTAGGAAATAAAGAAGTTTAGCTACATGCTCCATCCAAATGGCGTCTTAAGCCAAAGGTTTTTGCAGTCGAAAGTATACTATTACCGCTTTTGTCTATTTATATAGTTTGTGATACAGCTAAACTACGTCAAAATTCAGCACAAATTTTTCACCGACCCGGAGACTCCTTGTTTTAAAGTCTTGCTTACTTAGGAGTTGTCTTGATTGTTGATTAATCATTGATGATATATCGAAATTTATCCGTTGTCATAAATAGATGGAGTAGTCTCACTTATTTTGATATAAAGGAGACAAGCATTGCATGAAAATTTAAGATTCAAAATAACTGCTTGTGGAAAACAGCAAAAAATCCACATCTCTATCTAACATTAGTTAACCAGCATGCCCTTTGGGCCTTACCGAAGCCTTGCCGTACAGTAGATGTTCTCAATGGCGCTCGTTGTCACATAACAAATCCCAAAAATATTAAACAGCTAAGTAATAACACAAAAACCAATCATCCAATCATCCTACGTTGAAAACTCACACTGAGATCCGAATGCAGAAACCAGACGACAACTGCGATCATATCGTTTCAATTTTAATAACTTGTCTGCCAGCTGGTTTGCCACCCGCTGTGTTTTAAAGTTGTTTGTGCTATAATCGTAGCTTTGTGTATTTTTCAGCGCGCTTTCTGAAGTAGTTGATTAGCACAAAAACGCTGAATTAACTCTAAATCCAAAGACTTGATGACATGTTTATGCTTTGATATATAGAGGGCTATAAACAGCTGAAACTCTAAATTTCTCGAAACGAATCGTTAAGAGTTAAATTTCATATTTGTATCATAACAGCTCCTCTTAAATTGCTGGTAATAAAATATATAAGCACTCTCTGATTGTGTCCATAAGGGCTTCTCATACCGCTTTTTCTATTTCTAAAACGATTTTGAAGATCCACACTTTTTTGGGAAATGACACCAATTTATCATAACCTGATTCATGAATATAAGTTTAAAGTCCTACCTTCTTGCCATTACGTCATAACTTCATAATCATCTTGACAGAGACGTCGACAAAACAAAGAAGTAGTGTCTCGATCCAATCTCTCGTAAAAGCAATTATACAAGAGATAAATAACAACAAGTATAACTTGTGATTTAGCGCCGGTGGGGCGCCATTTTGATCTTGCAGGTTCCTAGTAGTCGTCTGTTTGACCACCTGCTGGCTATTCCACTTCCGGGTTTGGATGAGGCGGAAGTGGACAGGAGCTTTACGCTGTGATCTCTTTCCGGTCACGAAGACTCGACCACACCCACGACGCTCCAAAAAAAAAAATATGTGTATAATTCATGAAGGAGGGGGAGGGTTTACAGCGTAGCGAAATGAAACAACATTATTTCCTGAAACAACCATTATTAAGCTGTGCGTTCATCGAGATACGAAGTATTTGGGAAGTTTGGAGAGCACTCCAAGAAGGGAGAATTCCGGAAGTTTGCCGGAGGAAGGATTTTGGGGGATCACATAGTTTTCGGGGGGAATGAAGGGGAGATCAGTCGTCCCCAATAGAGTATGGAGGGGGACTATAACTGCCAATGAGGGGGGGGAGGGGGAAGGGGGGGACAATAGGAATGTTAAAGAGCGTTATGAGAGGTTCAGGTAAATTTATTGCAACACAACCAAAATCTTCCAACCTCCTCCTCCCCCCCGCTCTATTTCTTCCCCCAAATCCCTGAGATGAAAATGTACAATGTACATGTCCCGGGTGAATCTCAGTCAAAACCCAAATATAATACATCTTTGATTTATTCAGTTCGTGCTTACTTTCTTAATGTTACAATCGTATACTTTCAAACGTTTCCTTTTATTACATGTTTTTTTTTCATTATACCATTTTGTATTTGTATTTCCTTAATTTTTTGTTACAAGTTACATGTTTACACTTCTCTCTTTCTCCCAAAATTTTTCTTATTTTTTTCATTTTTACATTTCTCCTCCTTGCCACGCCATTTCTTATTATTTCTTTTTTTTTTACTTATATAATTTTTTCGTGTTCTTTTAATACTTTTTTAATTTTTTGCACAACTTTTGTCTTAGCGAAAAGTTGCTCGTATTTTTCTTTTATGATTTTTACTCTGGCTTCTTTTTCAACTGGCTTTTTTACGTTACTGAAAATATATATTTTTTTATTTATGTAAATGTATATTTTATATTTTTTTATGGCATTTTTGATTAAAACAAGTTCCTTTCTCTTTTTTCTGCTACAAAAAAGGTTGAAAAACAGTTTCGGAAGTAATATTTATGCAAAGAACTTTTTTTAATTCGTTTTTTTTTTCTTTTTTTCTTTTTATAAAGGAAAAGGGTTGAAAGTATTTTGTTGATTGTAGCAGAAGTACAGGATTACAAAAGAAAACCGGACCTCATGCCCCCAAAATTATTTTTGGTGCTTTTGGTATTTTTGATACTCTTTGCTTTGTCTTGCTTGCCACTGCTGTCTCCATCTGAGATACTTGGTAGTGTTATTTTAACAGGCTCAAAAGATGGTGCTCTCTCCTAGGAAACAAAATAAAAAGATCGCCTCAGACATGGTTCAGTCTGTTTTACTCGGTTTTAGCCTAATAGAGCGCTTTACGATTGATTGTGGTAAGGAAAAAATTACCTTTAATTTCAAAAGCCGATAAAAAAACTCGAAGTAAAACAAGCTAAGCGCCTAAAGCGCGGGAAAATAAATTCTACGAATGGCTTAAGTTGAAAATAACTACTTGCAAGAATCTTTAGAGCTCGTCAAAAAACAAAAAACAAAAAAATTGGTGAGATTCTAAAAATTTCCTTAATTAATTTACCTGAGTGGTGCTACTATCGTTTTGATCGTCAGCATCGTCGCTTTCCTCACGGGAGTTCTGCCATCTTCGGTACATGTAGTAACTTCCTCCGAGAGCAAATCCAAGACCAAAACAAGCTAGTAAAAACTTCTTCATCTTGCCAACTTTTGAAAACTTTCCACTGGCAAGCACTACGTAAAAACGCCTCAGACAACGTTTGACAAAGTCGTAATTACCTTTATGACGTGATAAAGGGCGCGTGTAAATTTTAGTAATTAGAATAAACAACTTAATTATTTCATTATCAGAACTTTATTTTTGGTTAGTTGGGATGACTGCTCTTGGCTGTTAGAGCACGGGTAGTCCCTTTTCCTCGTTCTGTCGCACGAATAAAAATTGAAGAAACTAAATTAAATAGTAAAAACATTTTCGCCGCAGGTAAACCGGAGGCAAGCAATCGCCCCCTGATTTTGCACGGTGCGCAGTTAATATTTTCACGCTCGCTCGACGGATAAGCACAAAAAATAAACAATAATTGTATTCGTAAGATGAGTTTACTAAGAAGCGAGTAATATATAAATAACTTATTTTCCTATTAGACGACTTTTTAACGGCATCGGCGTTGCACGCCGAGAATTCAAATTCAAATTCAGTATTATTCAATTTGAATTATACCGAATAATTTTGGATGCGATATCTGCCGGCAGGTCACACCGATACCTCTTCGAGTGCAACCCCAATATTTTGACCTTCTTTTAAAATCTTTTGGAAAACGATTCAATGTTCTGGACACAGAAGTAGAGCCCACTGACTGGAGTGAAGCGCACAAAAACAAGTTGTCAAATTAATAATGACGAAAAATAGATGAAAACAAGAAATCGGTGAACTGTGGGCCAGAAAAAGTACCACTGACCGGGGTTCCCTTCTGAGACCCCCAAAAATTCCCATTTAAAACTCCTCCCTTAATCAATGATGCTCCCTTAATCAGTGATGAAGAAAAAGGGAAGAAGAAAATACTTTGTTGATTTTTGCTAGCTAGAAAGTTGCAAATCATGAAAGGCAAACCTCTGTTATTCCTGCGAAGCTGGGCCATCATGAAAGTTCAGAAGGTAAAAATGAAAACGAAACATTTCGAAAATAGAAAGTCAAAGAATGACGCATTCAAACAACGAAAACGAAGTAACTAAAATTAAGAAACGAGACAAATGGAGCTTGAAGAGGAAGTGTCTTGAGTCGTTGTGTTCAATGTTGTGGCTTAGTCGAACGTCGGTTCACGTTTTTCAAGCGACAAATTAATAATGAAAAAAAAAAAGAAAAAAATTATTTCATGGGGTTCCGGTGATCACATGCACAACTACGAGGTTCCCAATGGAGTTAAAACCTATTTCGGCCATAAAACGGCCAAAATAATTAGTCGCTATGCATAAAAATTGACAAATTTTAACCGCTAGTCATAAATGAAGTTAGCCGTAAATTGGTCAAAATTTTAACCTTTAGCCGTAAAAGCTGTCACCCCATTGAGACCCTCAGGTACCAATTACAGGAGAGGTAATGCACGATCGAGGTTAAAATTTAGCCGCGTTTACCAATAAATAAACCATCTGTTGAACTGGGTGCTTCGTTTTGTTTTCATGCTATTTAAAGTGCTTTGCAAACGTGATTTGGTATAAGGATGCTTTGTGTCCAAAACATACCCTCTGATTTTAAAAAGATTGCATGACCACGTTATACAGAGATCAAACATTCAGACACTTCTTGGCCATCTTTTCAATTAATAAATTAGTTATCAGTCAATGAAGTAAATGCAATGCTTACCGAGTCTAGTATGACTCTAAGAAAGAGTACGAATCCTTAGAGGGGCAAAATCAAGAGTACTAAAGACCAGTATAACCCACAAACCTCGCAGCAGAAAGAGAAAATTCAACATGGAGGAAGATCGGGTCGCAGTTTTTCATACTCACACAGATATTTTAGGTTTGAATGACGCTACTGTTTTATCCTATCCAGCTAAAGTGTAAGACTATATTTATAGAATGTTTCCACACCAGCGTAAGCCTTAAGTTGCTTAGTGTTCGTTGGTGCCGTCAATTCACAAGCTCAGCGGTTGTACTAACCAATTTTCCATATTGGCGTATTCGTAGTGTGCCATGAGAGTGTAAAGTCACGCGGGACTGTGTGAGTAGAAGCTTCTTCTTAGCTTTTGTTTCCTTGATTCCTGTGATATATAAATCTTCTATACCTATGAATGTTATAATTTGCCACGTTTTACGTGTACTTTTTTGACAATAATTTAAAGGGTGTATGCTTCACTTGAAGCTGTCTTGGACTCATACCGTACTCTTGTTTTGACGGTATTGCAACATGGCCCAAAATAACATCTTCGGCCACGTGCAGGTTACAAAGCCTATGTCTGAACAGGGAGCTTAGTATTTCGTTCGGCATACATGTCTCTAATTTGATAGAATAGCCGATCCTAACGAGATTGTAAATCAATCGCTCAGACAGGAAAAATGTTTCTGATGACAATCACAGGTGTACGTGATTTTTTGGGACATCGACGCCAATTTACGTGCGTAAAGCCTCGATTGCCGAAAAATGCGTAAATTAAAAGCATAAACAATTAACCAAACACATACGTTGCTGAAAAAATGAGTGAATCTGGTATTAATTTGTTGCGATGGAATTTTGAAATTTTACTTTGGATTAATTTTTCATTATTAATATGTTGCCATCATTTGTTGGTCAGCTGATTTAACATGTAAGAAAAATCGGTCTAAAATATTTCTCAGTTGGATGAGTACTGATAATGTTCATAGAGTTGCAGCACACTTTTGCATTCATATGTAAGCCATCAACATCACCTTGCTTCACTTCACTCACTGCAATGACCCCATGGTACTCTAGGTACATTTTTAATTGAGTTCCAGGGCTTTTAGGAAAAAAAATTCAGAATCTGTGATCTTTGGCAAAAGTTTGAGACTACATGACTCATTGAAAAAAAAAATATATATTTTGAGATTAGATGAAGAGTTTGCAAGACCCGCACTTTCATGTGGTGGCACTATATGGCTCTCATTTTTATCCTCTTTTTATTGTATGAAGGACTTTTCTGATGTTTGATATCATGCCAGTGTGAAGGAGCCCTCAGCATAAGTTCCACAATCAACAAACATCATCATGTGGAGAATTATTCCACCTGTGATACCTTTGAAGAATTTACACCAAGTTGTCCTAAGGAGCAGTGTTAATACTGTCAAACTGTATCATGCAAAGAGTGGATGTTTTGGTTACAGGCCTGCTCCTCAAATAATCCACGCAGGTCAGTTATAACTGAGTAAAATTAGAATGCATAGGTTATTGAATAATGTAAGAAAGAAAGAAGAAAAAGACTGACCCCTTCCCCTGGTCCCTTAACCCTTTAACTCCCACATCAAACTTGTAATTCTCCTTACTCTCAACCATACAATTTTTATAATGTTAGTTCAGAGAATTTAGTATTGGATCTACTAATTATCCCCAAATTGATATTTTTCTTTATTCTCGTCATATATCTGGTTGATATTGTATTGATGTTGTAGGGAGAAATTCTGTCTTGAATTCTGAGTTAAAAGGTCAACCCTTCAAGCCCTATGAGTGACCAGCATCTTATTTCTCCTTAAAGTAATACTGCTGAATCATTCATTAAGATCATGAGAATAAAGGAACTGATTGCCATCCTTAATAGAAGCTTTGATTATTAAACTGATTCTCCTTGTCAGTACAAAAGGAAATCTATAGATTAAAGTTCAGAGAATATAGATTCTGATGTTAGGGTGTAAAGGGCTGCAAAGGTTGGAGAGTAATAATTAATCAGAGGTGTTGATCACAACGGAGGTGACAGAATACCTCCAGTACTCCTGGGAAAGAGATATACATTGTCTAGTAATTAAAATGTTTTTTGTTTGTAAGTACTCTCTTGATTATCTTGTTTAGAGAGTGAAGAGGAGTTGCAGAATAGAATCAAGAATGCCAATATTCTCAGACTAGTAAATGCTTACAGAGAACATGGGCATAAATTTGCAGATGTAAATCCTTTGAAGGCAAAAAACAGGTACATACATGTGCATACAATTCCTGCTCCTTGGACTAATTTTGAATTTGGATTGTTTCTAATCATTGAATATATGTTACCATTTTTCTCAGAGATTTTCAAAGTGTTTTAAAGAACTCCAAGGAATTTTCCTTGGAAAATTTCGGTTTGGATAATGTGGATGTAAATAGATCTTTCAAGTTATCAGGTAAGAAATTATTTTAAATTTTCTTTGTTAATATTGATTGTTAATTAAATTATTGATGACTCTCCTTTGTGCATTTAGGGTTGTTATGTTATAATGGTCAAGAGGAAGCCACTCTCTCAGAAATTCTTACACATTTGGAAAAAGTTTATTGTGGGCAGCTATCGGCAGAAATACACCATATTGAAGTAAGACACCAGATTTCTAGCTCAAGGAGCCTTTTAGCTCCAGATTCCTCAGCTTGAAACATTTATCTCAACCTCCTAACTGCATGACCATTGCTTTCTTGGTTATTTGCACATAGTAACTAGTATCTAAATTCTCCTTACAATATAACCCCTGAAACAAACATCAATGTTACAAGAATAAAGGGAATGATCACCAACTAAAGAAGCTCTTGATTGTTCTGAAAATTCTCCTTGTCAGCACCTTGGGAAATGTATAGAGAACAGCTTGGAGAATATATATACTGTTGTAAATCTACATCTTGCACCCTAGCAAAGTAGCTGTAGCTTGCTTTTCATAATTATGTCTTGCTGCTGAGGAGGGTAAATACTGCCTCCTTAAGCACCAACCCTAAAATCCTTCAGTTGTGTAGTTTATTATTAATAAGAGTCATACTTGCTTAATTTACAAGCCACACTTGGAGAGTGGGTCTCAAAGAAAAACAGCTGCTGTGATAGTAGTACTTAATGACTTCGTTACTTGGCAATTAATGTGTGTTCACTTTCCTACAGGATGAGTCAGAGAAGCTTTGGTTGGCTCAGCTGATTGAAAAGAGTGTTCTGTATTGGACACTAGAAAATGAATCTAAAAGACAGACCTATTTAGCAAAGCTGTTGTTGAAATCTGAGGTACATGACTTGTGAATGTCATTGTAAATTCTTTACTTTTATTGAGATGTTGTTGTAGAAAGTGGATGAAAAATAATGCAAACCCTCTCAGTTTATGCAGAAGTCTCTTAGATGCCTGAATAATCTCCTAATCTCCCAAAGATAAAGTCAGCAGTTAAGCCAAGTGTCCCTGAACTTATCTCAGTTTCCCAAGCATGAAGCGACTAGCAGTATCACTACTCCACCCCCCTCCCCCTGCCCAGAAGGGGATGCTAGTCCAATGCAGGGTTACACTCCAGCATTTCATCAGGCTTTCTTGGCAATATATGAGTACCCATTTACACTCCTGGGTGGAGAGTGGCACTGTGAGGGTAAAGTTGGTTTTGCTTGAGAACACAACTGTGACGCAACCTTGTCTGAACCCTGGTGTTAAGACCCAGAGTCCAGTGCACTAACCTTCAGGCCACTGCATCTCCCCTCTTATCTCCTGTAAAATTCATTGAATCTTTAGGATAAGGGTAAATTTTGAAGTTCAATATGAAAGTTTAGTTGTAACTGGCTTAGATAAATTATATATATCATAACATGTAATTAATGAATAACATACTCACCCATTTTTCTCAATTAGGCATTTGACAATTTTCTTGCCAAAAAATTCCCAACAGTCAAGAGATATGGAGCTGAAGGAGCAGAGAGCATGATGGCATTTTTTGATGAACTTTTTCTTCAGTCTTCTTACAGTAAGTTAAGCAACTCCAGTATGGAACAATGGAAAATAAGCTTTGAAATGTCCTTAGTGCAGGTGTAAGTGACCCCTTAGGTCTGCATCTTTCATTAAAATGTCTTCAAACTGTGTTTAGAATGTATATTGTTTTGCACCTGGTCATGTTGTGGGCCTCTCAATGAGGCGAGTTCATGTTACTTCTAGCCCTCATGCCTAGAATACTTGTCCAGGATTTCGACAGTTTTTATGTCACCCCATGTGTGCATTAAGTTCTACTCTTACACACAAGAACAGCACAATGACACCTCTCAAGGCTTGGGACCTTAGACTCTTTTAGTCAACAAATACTTGACATATATTTCAGAGGGTGTTAATTACAATATGCTGAATCAGTGCCCCTGCATTTCCAACTGAATTTTTTTTTCAGGTAAAATCCAAGAGTTAGTCTTAGGCATACCACATAGAGGCCGACTCAACCTTCTAACTGGTCTTCTGAAATATCCCACAGCCCAACTGTTCCACAAGGTTTGAACTGTTGGATGTTTAGTAAATACTGGTAAACTGTTTACTATTAATAATAATTATCATGACTAAATTTGACCTATACTTATGTGTAGGTTCCAAAACTTATTTTATTGGACATTAATACAATTAGGTTGATTTAATTTCTTTTTTTTGCTTTTCCTTAACACTAAAATTGTCTCACATGATCAATCTTGTGAGAAACTGGGCAACCACAGAAATTAAATCGCCAAATGATTATAGTTGGTTGTTAAACGAATGCGATTATAAAATGTGAAAATACATTTTTAGGACTGGTATATTTCAACGTTTTCCATTGAAACATAATTATATTTTTTGTTATTATTATTATTATTATTGATACTATTGATATACATGTAGACATCCTTGATGATAAAGTATTTAGAAAAACATTACTTTAAATATCTTTTAACAAAAACAGATAAAAGGAAATTCTGAGCTTCCTCCAGGAGCACAGGGCATTGGTGATGTCCTCTCTCATCTGTGTAAGTTAATGACAACATTACATGTAGTTCAGATTTACCTTTGTTTAAAACTGCTAGTGTTACATGTCTTGAATTAATAAGCCAGCATTGCAAAATAATGTGGTCTATCTTTGTAAGCCAGTGTTTACTTAACTCTTTACCAGCTTTAGCCAAAGGTTATTACAGGTGTGCAACAGTGGTCTTCTAGTTTAATACTTGATTAGGTTAATGATTGTACAAAACTTCAGATGTAGTATTGTAGCGAGGTCTCTGATCAAACCAGCCTAACATAAATTGTCTGATTTGAGAATTTTGGCCCACTAGTTGGAAGCAAACCAGCTGAATCTTTACAAGTTTGGTCAAGGTGCTTGTCCACATAAGTATTAACTCAAAAGAAATCCTTCAGCTTCAGTTTTCTGCACAACATGTTTGATGCACTGAAAATGCTTTCTCACTCTCCCCTTCCATTACTGACTATTTACTAAAGTGTCCCTTAAAATCATAGTTTCCTTTGGAAATCATAGATTTTCTGAATTTCCTGCTTTTGTTTTATCTACTTATTCTATATTCTTAGACACTTCTGTGGATCTTGAGGATTATGATTTGCGAGTGACCATGTTACCAAACCCATCACACTTGGAAGCTGTCAATCCTGTGACGGCTGGTAAGGCAAGGGGTCGGCAGCTTACATTAAAGGATGGTTGCTTTAGCAATCTTGCGGACAGTCCACTGGGTGATAAGGTAAATGCAATTTACTATTTCTTGTTTTGGAGTTCTCTACATACATGTATATGTATGCAGGGTATATTGGGTGTGTTGTCGTAAACTGATTTATGACTGATAATTATTTACAGACTGACCTGAGTCAGAGGTTGATTGACTGACTGACTGTCTGATAAACATTAACTGAATGACTGATTGATTGACTAAGTAAATGGTTTGCTGTCTGATGGACAATCAGCCAATCTTAACTAACCTTTCAAAGGAGACACCTTAAGCAAATGGGTTGGGGTGAAGAGGATTTATTCCTCCTTCCCTAATTGATGCCTGCCATGCAAATGATTTAGAACTACACAACCTTTAAAATTCCTACCTGTTTTGGCAAGCACTTAAATAACAAGATTCATCGTAAACTTTCCATCCTTTTTCTCTCTCCAAGGTGCTCAGTGTAATGGTTCATGGAGATGCTTCATTCTCTGCTCAGGTAAGAAAATGCAGTTTTCCTCTGGCAATAGAATCTACATTCAGCATCATGATTTTGCTTGAATTATTCACTCAGGCCTATGCATTGTACATGTATTACCACAAAGTTTAGAATGCAACACTCCATTCTTCATGACAAATTCATATATAAACTGTTTGTCTAGTAACAAATTTCGTGAATGTGAGTATATTCTGTGATTGATTGATTGAGGAAAGTAAATGGTGTTTTCAACATCTGGACAGGCACAATAACACTCTTTGTTGTTAGGGTACCAGCCAAATTTGAGGTAGACATTGTTCATATCATAGGAATATATTTCTCATGCACAGGGTATTGTAGCAGAGACATTTTGCCTGGCAAACCTACCACATTACAGTGTTGGTGGCACAATCCATTTGATTGTTAATAACCAGCTTGGCTTCACTACCCCTGGGGAGAGAGGAAGGTAATCATTTCATCATGTTTTGCAAATTGTATGACTTGTCTTTCTTTTGATACATTGTGAAATTCAAGGTCAATGCTTTTCATGAAGTTTAAGATCTCTTTTGTAGGTCTTCTAGATACAGCAGTGATGTTGGTAAAATGATTGGATGTCCTGTACTTCATGTTAATGGAGCTAATCCCGAGGTAAATGTTTCCTGTGACACATGGTTCTTGCCTTTAATTTTTTTTTTAAGGATTATGCTTTAAAAGTCTGGATAAATTTGAAAATGATCCTCTACGTAGGAGGTAGATGATTTTTGTCCCTCTTTAGTACTGTTTCTGTCAGTACAGTTAGCAGTAAGTAATTATTCACACTCTTATCTTATGATATCTTGTGACCATTCATTACTGCAAAGATTGCTTTCATATTCATGACCATAGGACTGTCACTTTATTTCTCTGTAAACAAAAGCTGGATTGTTAAAAAAAAAACACTATGCTATGAATGTAAGAACGTATTTAGAGAATGTTCCAAACTAAAAGTGTTTGTAGGAAAATTACATGACCACTTTGGCATTAACGTTGATTGGAGAGTTTTAGATTAGATTTTGTTAACTTTCCAGCGGTACATGCTAAACTCTGCAGCCTGCATGTAAAAGTTCATCCAGCTTAGATAGAGTGTTTTTTTTCGATTGAGTCTCGTGAAAGCAAAACTAAAGTTATCACAACGGCCAATCAGAAGAAAGCAAAATATCCTAAAGAGCCAATGAAAACTCGAAATGAGAACAAGCCAACTACCCAAAGCGCGGGAAAACGTGGGCGACCAAATCGTGGTTGGGTTCACGTTTGCATCTGATTGGTTTATAGAGTGGCGCGAGTTTTCTGGACCAATTACAGAGCGAAGCAAAGCCAAACCAACGCAATCGCGAGTTACTTGCGACGTTCAATTGAAGGCTGCTCTGTAAGAGATGTGGTTGTCAATCCATAATGATCGAATAGATAGTTCGTTGGTATTGAAAAATATGAAAAAACATAATTGTTTGTAGACTAACTTGCTGTTATCCTAAAAGTCTTCCTCTTGCATTTGTTCACATAGGAAGTGGTCCGAGCTTGTCGCTTGGCTTTTGAATACAGAAGGAAGTACAGAAAGGATGTTATCGTTGACATGCTCTGTTACAGACGATGGTATGTTTGGTTTGATTTCTTCGTGATTGTCCCTCTCAGGAGAAGTGAAAGCTGTAGATACAGAGAGGCGCTTAACTTTTACTTGTAAATAAAGAAAACCTTAAACTCCTCGGAGTGACCAAGATGAATTTCTCCTTACAATCTCGATGTATTTTTAAGGAGAAAGGCGACAAAATTGAGACGTTTATACGAAGATTAAAGCAAATATATTTGTATTTATGTCACAATAGACTAATCTACACCATCCTTTGACATTTATACAAAACAGCGAGATAGTGGAACTCTCTAGATGTTTCAATTCAACGTAATATTTGCAAAGGATTTACTGTACTTTCCATCAATGATCTAAGAACAGTAATTTTCAAACAAACGCCGCCCTTAAGAACACACCGCAACGGAAACGCTGTGCCACGGCGCTAAATCAAGTGTATACGATGTTCTTTTAGTCACGAGCAGGAGTAAGGAAAATTTCTTAGATCCCATACCGAATCAAACCGCAGAATGTTACTTCCTTTGATATTCTAAGTCATGTTAAGGTTGTTGTTGTTATGGTTGTTTTTCCAGGGGTCACAATGAGATTGATGATCCATCTTTCACACAACCGGTCATGTACCAAGAAATAGAGAGTCGTCCTAGCGTGCCCGTGCTCTATGCCAATAGTTTAGAGCAGAAGGGCGTGGCTGCGATCGGAAGCGAGGGTGACAGTCAATATACCGATTTTCTTAATGATCAATTGAAGCGTTCAGATAACTTTATTCCTCAAACGAGTCACCTTGAGGGACACTGGAAAGGCTTTGTTCAGGCCAGTCCAGATAAAATTACTACTTGGGACACAGGTAGAGTATTAATTGCCTTGTAATGTAGGGGCAGCTTGTCTTTTTAGACTCTGTGGCTGTTTAGATTGCTCTTCTATCGATCATAAAGCTAGAACTAAGGTTACGAAAATAACTCATCAGTCTAGAGGAGAACATCCCGCAGAGGCGATAAGATGGTCACAGGAAATGCACGTAACCAAGTAGTGGTTAGGTTTAATATTGTACCTGATTGCCTAAGAAGATAGCATGAGATTTTGTTATCAATGTCACAGCATAGTTATGCCAAACCATTGATTTCCTGGGTTGCTCTGACACTTGATTGAAATCTTCTCATTTTAAATGGCTTTCTTTTCTTACAAAGGGTTTCCCCTGGAAGGCTTGCTCTTTGTTGGAGCGAAGTCTGTCGAAACACCCGACTCCTTTAACATTCACCCGCACCTGAAAAAGACTCACGCGGAGGCCAGGATAAAAAAACTAGAAAGTGGCGCCGGAATTGACTGGGCTACTGCAGAAGCTCTCGCCATCGGAAGTCTTCTTCATCAAGGTGAAAACTCCTCTTCAATATTGAAAATAGACTAGTACCGAATGAAAAACCTACCTACTGAGGATAACAATGTAGATGTCAGTGTTACTCTAATGGTCACACTTCGAAAGTTTTATTTGCAGTCTTAAATGATAGAGCCACCTAGTACAGTTTATGATACAGTACTCAAATGATTACGCACTGGCCAGAGTTTGAACTTTCGGATCTTTAATTTGCAGTTATTATGCGATTAATTTTGTCCGAACTTTCCGTTTGACAGGGTATCACGTGCGCTTTAGCGGGCAAGATGTCGGAAGAGGAACATTTAGCCACAGACACACGATGCTGGTCGATCAACAAACAGACGAGATGTTTGTACCACTGAATAATATGTCCGAACAACAGAAAGGATTCCTTGAGGTATTTAGCACTATTCTCCTAAGAATTTCCATTACGAACTCCTCCAGACCTGCGCTCTTTCGGTCGGAGACTTGCCTGCTAACTTTTGTACTAGTAATGTAGATCTCTGAAAAAAAATTTTTTCTCGGTCTTCCACACAGGTGGTCAACAGTCCTTTGTCAGAAGAAGCTTGTCTCGGTTTTGAATATGGCATGAGTATTGAGAACCCAAATCACTTGATCATCTGGGAAGCGCAGTTCGGAGATTTCTTCAACGGCGCGCAGATTATCATCGACACATTCATATCAGGAGGAGAGGGTAAGAGTAATGAGATTTTTAACCCGTGGCATATTGATGAAGATATTCTCTCACGGCAATGATAACTTTTAGAAAGGATTAGGCGAAAAACAGCAGAGGTGATTTTTGTTTTTCAGCAAAGTGGTTGCTTCAGAGTGGTCTGGTGATGTTACTGCCTCATGGCTATGATGGTGCAGGACCTGAACATTCTTCTTGTAGAGTAGAGAGATTCCTTCAGGTGCGTGGTATTAGCTTTACACTTCACTAAAGTCTTTAGCTGTCTCCGTCTGTCACAGTGTTTGCAATAAGTTCGAGTTTGTCGATCTATTGACCTTTGGGTTGAACTAAAAAGTAAAAAAAAGTTCTTAAGGCAGAGATGGCGATGGAGAAAAGAAACTGGTGACCACCCTTAATCGTTTTCTTATCTCTGTAGATGACAGACAGTCGAGAAGATGGAGTGGACGGCGACTGTGTGAACATGCAAATAGTGAACCCAACCACGCCTGCGCAGTACTTCCACTTACTACGTCAGCAAGTGAGTTTAGATGCATGACGGAAAAAAGGATGAGATGGCAAAAGTTGTCGAGTGGAAAAGGGAAGAGAAATGTGGTTTTTTTTTTTTGGTATCGAATCCCTCAACTCTTTAGTTGATGCTCCCCTCTCATTCATTTTTGGATTTTCGAGGTTAAAATTTATTAGTTACTACAGACTGATGAAATTTTGTTAACTAAAGCCGAATTGTTTGATGCCTAGAATCCACTTTACAACAAAAACCCATTAACACAAACCCATCAAATTTTATTGTCTACACTCTTAATAATTCTCTTAGAAATGCCGCCAGCCTGATTCGATCGACAGAAAGCGAAACTTTAACTTAAAGTAGATACCTCAAGAAAAACTGTTCCTAATTTATTAAAATTATTATTATTTGTCCTAGATGGTCCGCAACTTCCGGAAACCACTGATTGTCGTTGGACCGAAGTTGTTATTAAGACTTCCGGTGAGTAAGATGCACGAGCATCCAATCCAAGAAAATTCTAGAAGTTTTGCTAATGAAATCGGAACAAGCTTTGGCGCGCCGTACGTACGATAACGTATTTTTCTCATTTCCCCTCAGGCTGCGGTATCGACCCTTCAAGAAATGGGCCCAGGAACACATTTTAGACCGGTGCTTGGAGATGCCAGTGTAAATAGCGCTTCAGTGCGCCGTGTTGTGTTCTGTTCTGGAAAGCATTATTACGCTTTAGCCAAGCAAAGAGAGGCGACCAACAGCTTAGATACAGCCATTATAAGACTGGAGGTAGGGGACTCGTTTTGATACTAGAAAGCGATCTATTGCTTGATGTAGTGGAACCTTATATCAGGGACACACTTGAGGCCACTTCAAGTGTCCCCTAATGAGAGGCGTTTGGCATTTTTATTGGTTTCTTTGTTACTTTTGCTGTTGTTGGGACTAGGGTTGGAGTGTTCACTTACCGTGACCGCATACATTTTTAAGGAAGGATCCTAAGTTGGGCTTGTATGAAAAGCGGTGTCCCATTGATTGGAATCTCGACTTCAAACCCTGGCCAGAAAACTGAACAAAATTTTAAGAGGGAGATTGGGGTTAGGACCTAGGATCACATCCGGGAACTGGGGAGAGGGGTAAAGACATTCCTGGTGCGGATTTCACGCGGTGAAAACCGTAATAAGTTCTGGCGATGCGATCCACTTTGCTCCTGAGCAGGTTTTATTTATGCTAATGAGAGACAATTCTTTTTCTTTTTACTAGTTAAGTGATAGTTCTAAAGTTGCTGTTTTACTTTATATCCTCTCCAGTCGTTATGCCCGTTTCCTGCTGAAATGATTCGTCAAGAGCTGAAGAAGTTTCCTCAAGCGAAAGGTATCTTTTTAATAATTGCCTCAATGTTCCTATCAACTTGAAATGCTTTAGCAGTGTTGTGACAGTTATATACGACTTTTCTATGCAGAATTTGTTTGGAGTCAAGAGGAGCAAAGGAATATGGGAGCCTGGAGTTTCGTATCACCGCGATTTGAGAATATTGTGGGAGTTAAGGTAAACCTGATGATATCAAAATAGGATTTATAGTCAGTCTGTCTGGTTGATTGATTGACTAACTAACTTGTCGATAGATTGATTGCTTAACGTATTTACTGAAAGTCAGGGTAACTTGAAACATGATAGCGCGGTTAATCAGTTGACTTGACTGGATTCTTGCTTGCCTTATTGACGGATGGATGAGTTAGTATTTTCGTTGATTATTGGCTGATCCATCAATTGCTTGATGATAACAGATTTTATTCTTCGTTTTAGCTCAAGTATAGTGGTCGAAGAGTTCTGGCTGTTCCTGCAGTTGGCATTGGAAAGCTGCATTCGCAAGAAGTAACCGACATTTTGAGTGGCACGTTCCCAAATAAAGACAATTAACCATAATGCTTGGCGCTACAGTTGAAGATAGTCCTAAATCATCCTGTCTCTTCCCTTGACAAATGTCTTATGGCACCATGCTGGAACTTAAGTCTCCCTGCCTGGGCTAAATCTGAAGAGAAGTCTGACGTTTTTCTAAGGAAATTTATGGAAAAGCAAGGGAGACTGAGTAACGTCCTACAAATGAGGAATTTATTTGTACCGCGACTAACTTATTACTTCAGGTTGTAAAGAAACCGCTCTTAAAAAATAACATTTACAACTTGTAAGTTGTCAAAGAAGACTTAAATCTGCTCTAAGCATCAAAGCTAAAGTTTGGTTTGACAAAAAGTAAATATTTTAATTATTTTACATATTTATCATTCCGCTCTCAAGATATGAAAGTTAAGGCTCTTATCTAATACCATATTTAAAACTGCATTAAAATCTCAAATACTGTCGAAATTGTCCCTGCGGACTCCTCCGTAATAAGGAGACTTTTCTCCTTCCTGTCGGTGTCCCTACTAGAGAGGTTCGACTGTAGAATAAACAAAAAATCAGTTGAAAATCGAAGAGTCGACAGATCTCTATTTAAGTTTTATTTATCACTGGTTAAAACCGGAAAACTTGAACTTTGAAATCGATGGAGAGGATTGAACTGAAATCTAAATATTCTTCTTAATTAAATAATTCTTCCAATCCTGCTCTTGTATACGTCTTGCAATAAAACGTAATTAAACCAAGGGATGTGTTGTACCTATTTCTGAGTGGTTAATGTTATTCAATCGTCTGTAATGAGGAAGACTTTCGAGTTCTTCTAGTACCCTTTTCCGTGTTCCCGTCACCAAAAAAAAAATGAAAGAAGGCGAAGAAGAAGGAGAATTGCTCGGGAGTCGACTTTAATTTCGGCAACTGAAGCATCCCAAGAAAAACTCCAAAGGGGGATCTGTGTATGTCCGAAAGTTAAGGTCTTCCATGTATTTTTGTTTCGAATCCTTGACCCTTGACCGCTTGTATCCTGTGAAAGGTATCAAGAGGAGAGAGAGGGTGTATGAAGGAAAGTGTCCTATCAATCAGGTTTACGTTTTTCAAGCGAACGGAGACAAAACCAAGGCGAGCGTGAAGCGGGAGTCATGCGCGCGGCCGAAGAGATCGGAGCGCGAAATACGAGGACTGGGTATGAGACAATGATCTCTCATGCCCAGGTTATCCCTGCCAATCATTATCTGGATATTTTCAAAATGGCGGCCGAACACTTGTAGGAGGTGTAAAAATTTACTTGTCAAATTTTCCTTATCAGAGATAAAGAACTTATTGCAAGAGAAAGGATTGTCCTAGAAAAAATCTTTGTATTGCAATGTAATCCGAACACTTGTCAGGAACAGCAATCTCGCTTGTGACTACGTAGGAAGGACGTCTGCAAGAGCTTGTCAACACGTGCTAAAGTTTTTTGGAAGAAGCGAAATATGAGTAAGAAATCAGCAGGCCGCAGGAGGAATGCAGTTCCTACAGTGGAGCAAATTTCTTCAGATCGGATCACCAAGGTACAGTAAAATATGATTTTGGATTACTCAGTTCTGAAGGAACGAGTTTGAAATTGTAAGCATCATCCAGCTGTGTTTACGTTTCTGATTCTTTTTCAGCTGAGTCTTTCTTTCGATGGTTAAAAAGTTTTATTTCAAGAGTTTCTTTTTAGGAAAGATGCACACTTAAAATATTTAATAGTACCTGCGTGGTTCCTTTGTGTTGGTGTGAAGATCTACGTACAGTGGACATGTCGGATTGTCATCAGTTTGTTTCTCCAGACACAAAAGGACAAGCAAATTATTTCTTTGCACGCATAATTCATGTCTGGTTGTTTGACAAAGTTCGCATAGTTAAAATATTTTTTCTTTTGAGAGTTATATGGAGATAATGAAGGAGAGAAAAGATGCCGTGATTCCAACATAACTCCAGTATGGCTTGATAAAAGAGAGAAAATACAATGAATTGTCGTTGATTATGTAGAGTATGCGTGTGAGAGAGCACTACATTGAATAGTTTATGGTGATTTCTTGTTTTTTTTTTGTTTGTTTTACAGCTTGCAAGTCAGTACTGGGCTCCTGGAGAAAGCAAGAAACCCTTCAATCCACAGGTACAAACTAGGTCTATATAAAGAAGGGAAGAAAGGGGTTTTTTCTGTGATAAGCACATGTTAAAAGAAGCTATTAATGGGGGCAGCTACCTCTCTGATAAAAGAAAATTTAATAAATTTTAAAATTGAATAAACAGAAGTACATGTAATCCACTTCACAATACAAAATATAGTGCACATTTCTTTGTATTAAGGGAGGTAAGATAACTGTAAAGAGAATGATTTTGTTCTTTGCATGGAAAAGAGTACACAGTGTCCTATCTCCTGTTCATTTTACTGGAGAAATAATGACTTGTTATTTTGTTTGTGTACAGATCGTTGATGACATTTATAAAGATGAAATTAAAGGCAGCAAGTAAGTACTGGTCTTATTGAGCATTGAGATCAAGAAGGAGCAGGTGCCTTGCTTTCTTTCTCAATTAAACATAATTTTGTTGTTTTGTACTCTCTTATTGATCAATCAGAGTTTTTGCTTCTCCTTTAAAGAAAAAAAATAATATGGTGTGTCTGATTAAATGTTTTAATAAGCACAATTGAACTGAAAGAACATATGATGATTATGTCTATGTTCTGAATAGGTTTTCTGTGAAGCGTGCTATGCTGTTAGAGTTCAGCCAATACTTGGAAAATTATTTGTGGCCCAACTTCAATGCAGCTAAGGTTTGTAAACATGCAAAAAAAAAAAAGGCAATTTTGAGAATTGTTGATGTTGTCTCTTTTTTTTATGCTCAGACAGTGAATCTTGAGAGGGAGTGGAATTTGAGAGTCATGTATACTCAGATACATTGTTTTGTCTTACAGTGTAGCTGTGAGTAATCTCAATTTTTAAGTTATTTTAACTGTGATTTCTTCCAGGCTTCTGTTGAGTATGTCATGTCTGTCATTGTGATGGTGAATGAAAAGTTTAGGGAAGGCGTACCACCATGGGAGGTAAGAATATCAAATATCCATTATATGTATGTTTGACTAGAGGGAAACCTGGCTGCTTGGTGGTTAGTGCACTGAACTGGAGAATGGAAGGTTCAAGTTCTTGAAGCTGTGATTTGCTCTTCAACAAGATGCTAACTATAAAGTTACTGTCACTGTGCCTCTCTTCATTCAGAAGTTTTAACAGGTGCTCCAAAACTGTCAAGGAAAAATATGTTGGTTTTATTGGTAGGAAGGGAAGGGGGGACATGGATAGAACAATGCATCTCATCCAGGGGAGATTATTTAGTTTATCCTTCTAGCTAGCTTCTTGTGAAATAAGCACAAGCAGGATGGCTTTGTTTTGGAGACCTGTCAGAGAATATGCAATTACTGATGTCAGGGTGTAAAGGTTAAGCTTATGGTACAAAGTCTGTCATAAAACATTACTTGACCTTAGAAGTATAATAAAAAATGTTTTGATAATAGGTATATTTGATAAATATGCTTGATACCTAACAAGTCACTTTTTATTCTTATTTGTAGTCATTCAAACAAAATCCAGAGGAGTTCCATGGATTTTTCCAGCGCATCATGGAAATCAGCTTGGCTGATGAAGATGTATGTCAAATATTCTTAGAAAATCAAGGAGACTTAAAAATATATTTATTTAGTACAGTAACTTAAATAAATGGTACAGAAATGTAAACTGAAGATTTCATCACAGATAATTCTTGAACTTTTTAATTTAAACAGTATGCAGGCAATGTCTAGTTATAGCAAAAAATTACCATTTGACCTGTAAGAGTGACTAGCATCCAAGTTCTCATTACAAAATCATCCCTGAATCAAACATGAAGGTCATGAGAATAAAGGAATTGATCATCAACCAAAGAAGTTCTTGATTGTTAAACAAATTCTTCACATCAGCTCCTTAGGAAATGTATATAGAACAGTATGGAAAGTTCAAAGAAAATGACTCAATAATTTTCATTCAATTCCAGATGGTGACAATTAAGGAGCAGTCTATTGTCTTGACGTTTTTGATTCATTGTTTCAACAGTCTGGTATGTCAGATCTTTCTCAATGACTTGAGCTTACCTACAGATATCTTACATTGATTAATTTTACTGTTAGAAATGAATTCCTTTTCTACACTGTGTTGGAATGATCAGGCCTCAAGTTAGTTAATTTTAAGCGATAAAATGTTGTGATTTCAACATTTTCACAAACATGTAACTTTGTTTTATAGGAAATGGATCTCATCAGAGAACAACTGCAGCACTTGGTGTCTCTGTCCATGTGGATTTCTCTTCTTCCGGTATGTTTTGTTTACTCTGGTTTAGTGTACCAAGAAGTCTGGTATCATTGACAATTTGAGAGTGGTAAATAGCAAGTTCTAGTGGTTAAAAGATATAAATTCATTTATTGAATAAATCAAGCTGGCTGCACCCTTAGTTGATGACTGATGTACAGAGTGCAAGTGTAACTCAGGGACCAGTTTCACCAAATGCCAGTTCCTTTTAAATAAGGACTCATACACCTCTTAGTTTAAGAACAAAAATTGAACATTTGGTATATATATTTAATGATACTATTTTGAGATATGACAAGACAGTGTATCTGCTGATTGGAATCCTGCACAGGGCTATCTGAAGGTTACCACCAAACTTTCAATGTATAATTATGTATGAATCTATCCTTGGAATCCTGGACTCATCAGAGTATGATTTCTCCTCACTATTTTGCCAATAATTTTTGGCCAACAGATAATGAGAATAAGGAAAACATCAGTTAAGGGATGCTGTTTGGATTTAAGACTAAATTCTCAGCACTATCTAATGGAGAAATGTACTGTCAACAGTAGTAAGAATTCAGTTTTGATCATTAGAGTTGAAGGTTAATGTGTGCTGGGTTTGTTTCTGTTAAAGGAACGTCTGGAACAAGAGTTGAAGAATGTGCCCAAGAAATATAGGAAATACTGGGAACACCTGAAAAAGAAAGAGGCCCAGGCAGATGAAGAAACCAAGAAAAAGTGAGTGCTACAAATATGGATCTCGTTCCTTGAATATGTCACTGTTAGTTATTAGTTTAACGACAGACAGAGCACTAGATTCAGGACAATGTTTATGTGAACTGCATGCAGAAAGACCTGAACTTTTGCAGTCCTGCTTTTGTTGAGTTTTTTTTTTGTTGTTGCAGTAAATGTGCAAGTACTTGGATGCGATGAAAAAAAGGGGATACCCTCTCTAGATAGATTTAATTGTCAAATCTCTTAGCTTTGAGAAAAGCACATTGAGACAAGAATAGATTTTGTGGTTCAAATTTCAATAAGTATGCCTAACTTTAGAGCACAATTTCTCTACCAAACCAATTATACTCATTCACAATTTAAGATGTTTATTGTTAGAAATACATGTACATAACATTTTTCACTTTTGGGCTCAGGATTACAGTGTTAATTGTGCTTGTTATTATCTTTTTTATTATTATTCTTTTAGACAAGAGAAAGAAAGAAAATATTTATCAAACCTTGTTCAGAAGTTTGTGAAAATCTTACAATCAATTCCAGAGTTAGGTAAGTTATTATAGGCTGATCTCATCTTCGTATAAACAAAAAATAAAATTTAAAGAACTCATCATTAACCAATGTTGCTAGTAGTAAATCATGTTTGTACAAAAACACCTTCAAGTCCTTTTCTTTAGACTGTCACTGATTTTAATCAGTTGCCAGCTATTTTAGGCAGCTTCAGCTCAAATTTTTCTTGCATGTTTTTTACAGAGATACAGAGAAAGGTGTGTGGGTGGGGGGGGAGGGGGAATGTAACAGGGCAAAGGGACTGCAACCATCAGGTACATCTATCTGTAGGAGAATGGTTTTAGAGCTAGCTACTCAGATGACATGCACATTTCTAACCAATTCTTGCTTATCACTGTCTTTGCTTTGTGAAATCAGAGCATGTTCTGTGTACTGATTAAAAAGCAAATTAAGGATTTTTTTTCCATTATTCCAGGCTCTGTGGATATGGATAAGGTTCACTATTGTGAAAGGTTCCTTGAACTCTTGGTTGACTTAGAGGTAGGAAATAATTAATAGCATTATAATTTTTGTTCAACTTACAGTTATTGTGTTTCAAAAATTCACATTTTGGAAACATTTCAGTCTGCTTTTTGAGGATTTCTGAGTTTCACAGCTGATGTCTTGTATTTAGCAATAGTTACATGTAAACTGTTGTTCCTTCTCTAACAGTGGTGTTGGACAGGTATGAAACTTTTAGAATGACCAAAACCTACTAATCTTGATTGATCTCAACAATTTGTTTCAATAGGCATTGTTACCAACTAGGAGATTTTTCAATACATTAGTGGATGATCACCATTTAGTGGTAAGATTAATTACAACATGCTTTTCCATGCCAGTGTATATTTTATTAAATTATTATTAAACCCAGTTTAGTATTTATTTCCTGATTCAAAAGATAACAAGTGAGGCCAGGTATACTTTTAAACCATGACACATAGCCAGACAGTGTAGTTTGATTTTTATTTCTCCTTATTCTGGAATTTTTTCATAATCCCCAAAGAAAAATACCATACATTCAGAATTAGCAACACACATAGACATCAATTCACCTGAATACCATGTACATGCATACCTGAAACATAATAAATTTTGTACATCATGATTCAAATTTGTAATTAACTATGTAATCTTGTCATTTATGGTAACATTAAAACCTGTGCACTTGATTATATTTCAGGTTAAGTGCCACCTTTCTGGTCTTGTAAGAAGAGAGTCAGAGGGAAGATTATTCAAACAAGTAAGGGAATGCTAAAGGCTTTTAAGAGTAGAGCTAGAATGCTCTTTCCTTGATTAATCCTGTTAACTTTTTCTCAGTGTTTCATAGAAAAATGTAGCAGAGGAAGAATTGTGTAGAAGAGCAAAGAAATATTTCCTGTGTGGCAGAATTATGACAAAATAGCTTAAACCATTAAAATTGAGGCAGATAATTATAATTTGTTATAACCATAAAATTCTCTGATCTGCAATGCTTCACAAACACCCTCTCTTCTCCCAACAGTTGTTGGATATGCTGAAGTTTTACACTGGTTTTGAGATAAATGATGTTACAGGTATGTCAATGGACAAAAAAAATTGTTATTTAATGATAATGTTTCATGGTAATTTACTATACTGTGTAGTAAATGTTTCACAAACATTTAATGAAAATTTGTAATGTGTATAGGCTGTATCTAAGATTATGAATGCTCACCTGCAAAGCAACTTTTATGCCTTCTCTTTTAGTTAAGTTTTTACAGATATTTCATTTTGATGCTTTTTCCATAGGAATGGCTCTGACAGATCATGAGATGGTTGACATTCATTACAACAAAATGGCTTCATTACAGGTACATATTATTGTTTTCTCAATTTCTGGGTTAATCTAGGCATAGATCAGACCTCCTAGGACATGATTAGTGAAATTATGTTTCACCTTTTTTTCCATTTATAGCGAGCAGTGTTCAAGTATTTTCCAGAGCTTCATGATTTTGCAATGAGTAACATTGCCAGCATTGATACAAGGGAAGCTCTTCTGCAACATTTTGGATCTTTGTCGTAAGTTCTTTGTGTGTTTGGTTTATTCCCAGTTACCTTAAAATTCCATTTGGAGAGCCACAAGTATGTTATGAAGACTATACCATTAACAAAAATCCTGTCCTTGTATTTTTTTGTTGTTTTTTTCTTAGAAATAAAACGCTTCATGAGGTAGCAGCATATTTGAAGCTGTTGCCTTCCCCAGATGATGTGGGAGTGGAGAGTAACAGAGAGTTTCTTCTAGAGATGTTGGTAAGATTGCCTTGTAATAAAAAATACTGCATTTTATTTTTTGTTGCTTAGGATCCTTCAACATTAAATATCATACAACATATCACATAATTAAAAATTTGGTAGTAGATGGCCAGCAGATGGGCCGGACATTGGTGGCTGTTCATGAGATGAGCCCACACCTCTCCTGGGCAAACTGGAGAAACTGAGACTTCCTTACAGCTCAGTAATAGCTAACTAAAGATTTCTCTTCCCTAGTCACAGCTACTTTAATATTTGAGATGGAAATAAATGAGATGGGTTTTGTTTCTTTCGATAATGACTGCTTCAATAACACTCCTAACTTCTCTGCACATTTCAAAGGTTTCTAGACACGAGCGACGCCTTTCTCAAATTGATGCCATAAATGAAATGCCACTTTACCCTACAGAACAGGTAAATGCCGTACTGTTTATTTATTTAGTAAAACCAGTTTGCAGTACTTATCCCTGAGAATGACCTGTATTTCATTTCTCCTCACTGTATCACCCCTGGAACACACACTAAGGTCATGAGAATAAAGGAAATGATCACCATCTTAAGATAAGCACTCGATTGTTTAACAAATTCTCCTTGTTAGTTCCATCATAAATGTCTAGAGAACAGTATGGAGAATATGCAAACTGATGTCAGGATGTAAAGGGTTAAGAAATAATCTTCTTTTTTTTTTTTTTTTTTAACAGATTTTGTGGGATGAAAATATTGTTCCAACAGAATATTATTCATCAGAAGGTAATTGATTGGGAGATCTGTAGAGATTGCAGTGGCTGAGTTTGAAATTATGATGAAATTGTCAATATTTTTTTAAAAACTTTAAATACTTTTTCTTTGACAGACACTCTTGCTCTTCCAAAGTTAAACTTGCAGTTTTTGACCCTCCATGATTATCTGCTGCGTAACCTCAACCTCTTCAGGCTGGAATCTACATGTAATGAATTTTTTTTTAAAAATATTGTTTACATGTACACTGTTTTGATCATTTAATGGAAAAGTCATATCAAAACCATTCTGGAATGTTATTATGTTATGATGAGTCCAAAAAGCTAATAACCATTGAATAGCTATTTTTTTTTCAGCTAACCGAGGCACAGTAATTGACAGAAGTTTGTGGCTCTAAAAGATATCTTTCTCACTGATCTTGGTCCTAAAGGGGACTGGCCATTATACAATGAAAATTCCTAGAATATTTGACACTTTTTTCACTCCAATTACTTTTCATTGCTTTGAAATGTTTTATATTTTTTTCAATATTAATATTTTTCATTCTATTGATTTTCCTTGGTATTTTTAAAGTTTACCTCTTTTGGGTGTGGGGAAGGGGTGGTTTTTGTTACCTCAGATAAAGCACTATGTGATGTTCATGAATTTTGTGTTTTCGTATATTGATTTTGTGCTAATTAATCATATATTGTTTTATCGTAGATGAGATCCGTCAGGACATGGAGGATGTAATTGCCAGAATGAAACCCTGGTATGTTGAAATTTGGATGTAAGCTTTTCGAGTCACAACTTCTGAATAAAGAAGATACAAGTGTTGTCTTGTGGATAAAGGACTTTTTTGTGAGGACGTTGTGACTGCAGAATTAGACGGCATGATAGTGTGTCAGTCAACCATAGAGATACATGTTGAATCGTTATAGTTTTGACTACAAAACTTTTAAAATTTGTATACTTTGATATCGATTGAAAAGATGGTATTTGTTGCCTTAAATCAGTGACTATGCAAGGAGCAGGGTTTAGAGCTGTGTTTACGTTTCACGTTTCACGTTTCACGTTTCATGTGCCGCTCACTTCCGGTTTAATCGTGCAGCTGTTGTGTTGCAGAAAGTTGGAAAAGTCCTATTTTTTTTAATATTATTCATTCGTTTACTTTTTAGGCAAAACGAAATGGAACAGACAGAGTTTGCTGGCTGGGCAAGAATGGGCACAGTAAGCAACGAACAAATATTATTCTTGAAATAAAGTAGATATTCTCAGGAAAATGCCTAAATTTACAAGTTTTGCATTTCTTTTTCTTTTCAGAAAATAATCAATTTCAGCGTAATTGAGGTTAGTAGGATGAACATTGAATTTTCTGACTAAAATTATACAACCAGTTAAATTGTATGTGTATTTTGTGTTATTATTCCACAGGTATCTAAACCAAATATCGGCGAGACTCGCCCGTCTCAGGTTAGAGCCGATGTGACCATTAACTTGAACATGAGGGACATTGTGAAAGGAGAATGGGAAGGTACATGACTTTAATAAAGTTTTATTGTTTTATCATCGTGTTGCAGGGGAACAAAAACTTAGGGCGCGAAAGCGGTAGTTATTAGGAAATCTACCCACAATTCGCTGTTTTTCGTGCGTGTGCCTTTTGACTCCTTTCCGCTAAGTCTAAAATAGACAACGTGTTGTGATCGTGTTAGGTCTTTTCAGGTTGATTAGTGGTTAATACTATCGGAACCTTTCCCAGTGTCCTTAGCATGAGGCGATAAGGAGTGTAGATGCTCTTAGTTGTCCAACGTTCTATAAGAGTCCTTGGTCGGTAGCCTGACGACAAGTCGGCAAGTTCGCCGGTATCCATTAATACTCCTGCAGGTTGGAGAGTGACACTGTAAGGGTAAAGTGTCTTGCCAGTGACCAGGTTAAGGTTCGAACGCGGTTCTTTCAAACGAAAGTCCAGCTTAATAACCACCTCAACACCACTTCGCCCAAAGTGCTTGCTCACTACCGACTAAAATCTCTATTCATTGTTATTTTATTTCAGCGTTGAGGAAACATGATGTGGTGTTTTTGGTGACTGTGCGTCCAACCCATCCCGGCCCAGTGAAGTATGATCGTTCGAAACCATTCAGAGAGCAGGTAATTTTGTAAGCATTCTACACTCTGTGTCGCACTTTACCAAACCTAGGTACTTCTTTGTGCGTGTGTCGCAATATGTCACTACTTATCATCTTGAGAAATTATAACTTGCAACAATTTCTAGTTAAAAACTAAGGGAACAAAATGTGTGATTTTACATTCTTAGTGGCGCAGATTACCAGAGAAAATCCGTCTAACATTTAGAGTATCGTTTGTGCCTTTCAGTTCGGAGTTGATTATGTACGTGGAGCCGAAATTGAAGGGATGTTAGATGAACAAGGAAAAGTAATCGAAGAAGGTAAGGTATTTTAATGCGAGGACTGTTATTTTCCTTGATCTGTGTTAGGCGGCCAAGTTGTTACTGCTGCGTGTGGCATTTTCGCGCATAAATAACAAGGGGAAAATCGGCGAGCGCGGAAAATGTGTTTGTAAGAAATTACACGGCACACAAACACCACAAACTGTTTATTCATTATCTGACTGGTTTTTCCCTCAGGTCCTGAACCAAAGCCTGAATTTAAAGGAGAAGACAGAACATTTCGCTTGTGGTTGGACACGAACCAATACCAACAGGATATGGCGGAGACTGTCCATGGCGCTGAGGTAACAATCCTTTGGTCTCTCAGGAGGCAAACTCATGTCTTTCGTCTCTAGATTCTGCCGTTTTTGTCTAGTAATTGGTTCGCCATATGATGAGAGCAATTTTCAATTGATTGTCTCAAGTATTCCGGGATTTTGTTGGGTTTACGCCTCAATCTTTGTGGTTTCTTTAGAAAACTTGCGCTTCTCAAACGATTAAGCAGCATACAAAATAGCAATTTGCGCGCGTTTTAGTGTACAGGGCAAATTTCTTTTAGGTCCTTTTGATGTTCATTTTTTCCTAATTGGCTCTTGTGATTGCTTTGGCCTTGGTGTCAAGACATTCAGTCGTAAGGCCCTCCGCTTTGAAACAATCTTAAGACAGTAGCAGTTAAGAGAATGAGAAAGATGGTAAGAGCTCGGTAAAGAAATAGAGAAAGATGTTTTTCGTCTTGTCGCGAGCGTGGGACAAGGAAAAATTCTGAGTCCCCATAAAGAATCGAATCTCAGACCTTCAGATTCAGCGCTCCAATGCTCAACCACTTAGCCACAAAGACTGGTGAGCTGGGCACATCACGAAGTTATATAAGACATGCATCCTACATGCTGATAGGATCAGCAATGTCGATAGCGTCATGTAACAAAAGTAATTTTGATAGGTTGAGAATGTAATGTAACTGTTTGATACTTATCATTCTGAGTTTCTTTCTTTTTACCACTTTGTGTTATTTCAGGATGTATATGAAACTTTTAACATTCTTTTGAGACGGAAACCTAAAGAAAACAACTTTAAGGTAGATGTTGATAAATATTTTAAGTTCCATAGTGGTTTTCACCGTTTTCCCTGGCGTTACATGTGGGAAATTCGCCTCCATCGTTTCTCCTGCCCTGACAATTGATCATTCCATTTATTTTCATGACGTAGTCTAAGCCATGAATTCGTATTGACTCGAAGTTTGAGTCTTGAACATATGCGTTTTCCATGATAGTTTTGTCGAAAATTTGGTTTGAAATTTAGGAGGACACATTGTTAGTTTCTGTGAAAGAGAGTATATGTACTTTAACGAAGGTGAATTTCAATTTCAAACTTAGCCCAACTCTTAACTACTGTACTTCCGGTGCCCTTTGACGTTTACCATTCCTCGAGAAATGCCTCATTTAAAAAAAATTAAGTTAATGGAATGCTGAAGGTCAAATCTTTTTGTTTTTTATTTTGTTTGTGACCTACGTGAACTGTTCCGTTGAAAGGTTTGATGAGATTGACTTACGTGTATTTTCATGTGCTTTGCCACATCTTTACCAACAAATACATTCTTGAACGTCATTTCCTGCAGGCTGTTTTGGAGACCATCCGTGATTTAATGAACACAGAATGTATTGTACCAGACTGGCTCCACGATATCTTCCTGGGATATGACGATCCTGGTGCAGCTCATTACAGCAGGTACATTAATATCACATGAAGTCATTTTACTGGTTGTGTTCCTCTTGCGCTTTTGGACTTAGTGTTTGGTTTCTACGAGCAGTGGCAATGACTCTTCAGTGTTGAATTGAGCGCAGAAAAACCATTTTAAGCCAGGTAATAGCGGCCAATCATAAGAGAGGGAGAAAATTTAACGAGCCAATGGAAACACAATGAAAATATACGTAACCTCATCATTGAGAAAGCGACGAATCGCGATGAGGGTCGTTTTTCAATTGGTTAAGAAGATGACTCGAGCTTTGCGTCAACGAAAGAGGAAGGCAGATAAATTTTTCAAATAACTTTCTTTTAAATACTTGTTTCATACAGAATGCCAAACCAGATCCGACAACTGAATTTCAACGACACATTTCTTGACTTTGAGCACCTGAAATCTTGCTTTCCCCAATATACAGTCAAGGTAAGTCTGTGCTGTTTGAACTGTGATAGTCTTTTCTGCCATTCTGCGCAACGCTTCATTGTAAAAACTAAACAAAACATTCTTGCGTTATTTTATTTTCAGTGTTCTACTGACGATCCTGCAGAACGTGTCCCACCTTTCAAGTAAGACCCTTCGTCTGTCCTCATTTTACATTTCTAGTTCATATGTTTGCGCTTAAGTAGCGTCTTGAACTGTTAAAGTTTGACACGAATGGTCGCCCAAAAATTCGCCTTTTTAAGCAGGCTGCCTTGTTTAGTTTCTCTGTGTTCTTGCTTCAAAGAATTTTAAAAAGGTATAATGCATTTTCCCCAAAAATTCCTGCTCATTCCAGTGTAACTTTAAAAAATTTAACTTACCGAAAAGTATTATGATAGTAACTTCTAACCTCTTTTTTTTTTCTGCCGGTAGGATAACTTTTCCTGAGACAGCGTCTTCCAGTAAGAAACGGAAACACGATGAAGAAGACCCTAAAGAAGTCAAGCAGGAGTTGTTGGTGGAGCCATTTGTGGTTCCCAACCGAGGACCATATCCGTTTAATCAGCCAAAAAAGTAAACACCTTTTGTTTCTTATTGTTTCAATTGCTGTGGTAATTCCGACCCGTCTTAAACTTGGAGTAAAAATTATGCGTTGCGTGAGCACGAAGTTTGGTTTTGTTTGTTTCTATTTTTGTTTTTAAGGAGACGTCGGAATGGAGATGGTTATTTTCCATTTTTCTTTCCTGTCTTCTTTTCACTGTACTTGTTTAAGATAGAGAAATAATAATTCAATGGTTTACCCTTTTTTGACAGGAATGCTGTTCCGTTCACTCCAACCCAAGTAGAGGCCATCAGAGCGGGCATGCAGCCCGGGTTAACAATGGTAAATCATATTTGTTTCTTTCTGATGTAGTACCTATAATTTTACGATTTGTTCTGCAGTGAGGGACACGGAGGCCGAAAAGTTTGTATTTGCGTCGAAAGTTCCGCTGTTTAGTCCCTGCCACGGTCATTGTTTTGTGTTCTAAGGCAAGACGATTGTGTTCCAAGTGCCTCTTTACCCCCAGGATAAAATTGTTGGGTACCAGTGAAGCGTCAGAGAGAAGTGCCATTTATCAAGAGAGAGGGGGTGGGAAAGGGAAGGAAAGGAGAGGGAAAGGGGAAGAGCTGGAATGGAATGGACTAGCATCCCATCCAAAAGGAATAGAAGTACTACTGATTGCTTCAGGCAACGGTTGTCGGGATAGCACCTTTCAAATATGCGAGTTGGCAATCTTGCAAATCTTTTTTCTTTTGTTTTTTTTGCTTTTTTTATTCTTATTTTGGAACAGACATTTGCCATAAAATGGCTGTTGCACAGGAACACATTTCTGTTGGACTACACTTTATGTTGTTTATTTTGTGGATTGTCGCAGGTTGTGGGACCGCCAGGCACAGGCAAGACAGATGTCGCTGTGCAGATTATCTCCAACCTTTATCACAATTTTCCAGAACAGCGAACACTGCTTGTGACCCATTCTAACCAGGTAAGTTCGTCTAACTGATACAAGTTGATGATATAAAGGAAAAGAAGCATTCGGACCTGCTGAACTGTTATAGGGGACTGAATAAACTCGATTAGTACAATTTTCATTTGGCAGCTCTAACTCTCAGCTATTACTCTAACTCCTTTACCACAGGCGTTGAATCAACTTTTTGAGAAGATCATGGCTTTGGACATTGAAGAGCGTCACTTGCTTCGTCTCGGTCACGGGGAAGAAGCCCTAGAAACTGAGAAGGACTTCAGCAGGTGTGTGACTCAACTGCTTCGAGATTGGGTCTTGATGGACAAATGTCTCACCATTTCAATCGAGCGATCGTAGTTTCCTCTGCTCTTTGCAAGCTTGGCCGTTGATTAGATTCTTATGTAACTCGTGCGCAACTACTAACAAAAAACCGTGAACTGCCCAACATCTCGGTGAGTTATTTTTGTCTACTGAAAGTAAACCAGACATGTCTAACGTCGGCCCCGTGACGTCACAGAGCCTGGTTACAAAGGGTATTGTTCCTAATGTACAATTCACTTATGCCTCTAGGTACGGTCGTGTAAATTTTGTTTTAGCCAGCAGACTGGAGCTCCTTAAGGAAGTGCAAAGGTTACAGGTAAGCACTTATCAATAGAATTGTCTTAAGGATTGTCTCACTGGAAAAAAAAACCTTCAATGTCTCATTTTCATTTCTTGTCAACTCAATATTGTTTGAGTACAAAAGTCACAAATTGGAACGTAAGAAAATAAACAAACCAAACAAACAAAATCATAACTGTTGCCTCGGCCAATCTGAATACTTGTTGCAAAATAACAAAACAACGGGGCAAATTTAGATTTTGTTTCCTTTTTTTTCCAGGAGAGTCTGGGTGTTCATGGCGATGTTTCTTACACATGCGAAACTGCGGGATATTTTTACTTGTATCAGGTATTTCATCCACTCTTCCTTTTCCTGTTTTTTTCTTGATAAAGCGCTATTCTGGCCTGATGGAATTTAACTGTTGGTTCGTTTTGTTTGCAGGTCGTCTCACGTTGGGAGGAGTACATGGCGAAGCTGAAGGCAAGAGTAAGTAACTAGCTACCCGTTTTACATTGACGCTTGAATATTTGTTACAAGCGTAACAATTACAAACTATGTTTTTGCAGGCGGGGTGGTTAAGTGTTGAGGTCCGGGATTTCAGCCTTGGCTGGGTCCTTTTTTGTGTTCTTTTTATTATTATTATTATTATTATTATTATTATTATTATTATTTGGAGAAGTATTTAAACGCCTTGTCACATCTCATAATGAAAACTTGAAATAGCTTCAGCAGTAATGGACCCTCTAGGTTCATTATATTTTATTTTTTGTTGTTTCACTTAAATCTTAAATCTTCTCAACCGTAGGCTAGCCTCGTAACGGTTTTGCCTCGTTATGGTGTAGTATGGGAACGATTTAAAGGGGCTTGAACATTAATAAGGAACGGCAGGCGATGTTTAATTCGCTTGTTTTCGCGCTCTATCTTTTCAGAGAGGAGAAACTGCGGCGATATCTGAGTTCTTCCCTTTCACGAAATTCTTTGAGAACGCACCACAGGTAACTTTTGTTTCCTTCATTAATGGATTAATATTATTACTATGATTATCACTATTATTGGTAAGATTTTTATAAGGGTTTGATGTATCTGTTAGTTCTTTTGAATAGCGCTAAGTCACTCTTATCCCTTAGTTTTAATCTTCAAATGATTTATTCGAGATGTTGTTGTTTCGTAGCCTATTTTCAAGATGAGTTCGTATGAAGAAGACATGGAAATTGCAGAGGTAAATTTGTTTTCTTTACGACTCGAGTAAAGCTATTCTTTTGCTGATTTGAGAGACTGGATACAAAGAAAGAAATATAGAAAAAAAAAAGATTTAAACAAGACTCGTATTTGCCTTATAATCTCAGCTCATAATTGCAACTTATGAGCTGAGATTATAATAACTAAACTCGCGAGTTCGTCTGCTTTAAAGAGCTCTTGACTACTTTTCAAAGTAGATCGCGTTGGTTTTGTTGTTCCCCAAAAGTCAGCTGCAAGTCACTCGGGTTTTCCCGCGCGCTATGCAGTTTTAAGTCCTCATTGGTTCCTTGGGGGATTTCCCTATGCTTTGATTGGCCGATGTGATTACTGTGATTTTTGGTTTTACGATACTCATTAACAATGCACTCTGGGATAACCTTTGGTAGCTTATTCTGTGGGTTAACAGGTGTACGGAAGAAAACAACCGACGGCGCGTCAAGGAAAACGATGGAAACCAAGAGGTTTTGCACGTCTGTTCCCTTATTGAACGCAGGGAACAGACAAGAGATACAAAATTTTCCAAATGAAGAAGGAAATATTCAGAAAAATAGTGTTACATGCTGGTGTAGTCTACTTCATGCGCAATTTTCTTCTGGTGTCAATTACTGTTTGATTCGATTTTGTTTCATTCAGGGCTGCTATCGATATATCAAGAAGTTATTTCAGCAGTTAGAGGTTAGATACATTTATTTTTTCGCACTACAATTTTTTTCACTAGAATGGAGCGACATTGCCATGTCTTTGAAACGTAGCCTTGTCGTAGCAGTTTCTCTGTAATTGCGTACTTTTTCGGGTGATACATATTTGATCTTTCTTAGGAAACATTCTTATCTAGGGACAATCTACCAGCTTCTTTTACTATTGTGTTGAAATTGCCCCGTTCGGCCTTCTCCCATTTCCACCGTTGGTTTCCCCCCGTCTCTTTTCCCATGAACTTATGGTTTTGTGATTTTTTTTTGTTGTTTGGTTCATTGTTTGTTTTCCTTTTGTTGATTTATCCCAGAACATTAGTTCTTTTCTAATTCCTATAAAATCTTTGCTTTTGCTGATGTATCCCTCACACAGTTCGCTTGCCATTGTGGGATAGAAAACGTCTAGGCATACTTAGGAAACTGAATGCGAATAGTTGTATTTTATCGCAGAAAACATACTTTGACGAATTTATTTTTACAGGAATTTAGAGCATTTGAGCTTCTCAGAAGCGGTAAGAAGATTTCACTCTTTTTCTTCCTTTTTGTGTGAGTACGTCATATGTTGTTCGCTTTTAAATTTTGCGTTTCTTGACTTGTGCGGATTTTATCTGACAGGTCGCGATCGAACAAACTACCTCCTAGTGAAAGAAGCTAAGATCATAGCCATGACTTGTACCCATGCCGCACTCAAGAGGAGAGACCTAGTGGAGCTTGGATTCAAGGTGAGGAGAATTTTACCAAGTTGCCGTAGCATAGGGCTCACAGTTGAGGACTCTTTGAAGAGTAATTTATTTCTACAAAGAATGTAATTAATGCTGTGTTTTGGAAGGTCTTAGCGGGTTTGAATCTGATGAGAATTCATTTGGTTTTAGAAGTTTGCTTAACCGTCGCTAAACGGTTGAGTTTAAATGAATCCTTTCTTCATTCTGCTCTTGTTGAATTTTAGTACGACAATGTGCTCATGGAGGAGTCCGCACAGATCCTAGAGATTGAGACGTTTATTCCACTACTGCTTCAGGTGGGAAACTTGCTCTGTATCACAAATGCTAAGTACTGAGTTCGATACGAAACTAGTGAGGCCAACACTTGACAAGAAAACATTTGAAGTCATTTTTTGTGCTAAACTATTCACAGTTTGAAGAAAACTACAAAATATTGGTTTTAATTAATACGATAGAAAAGATGACAAAAGATTAAGTGGATTAACCCTTTCAATCCCAAGATTTCGTTAGTAATTCTCCTTACTTGTATAGAATTTTGATGATGTTGGCTCCAAGAATTTGGCACTAAATTAACTGATAAACCTCTGATTGATGTTTTTCTGTATTGTCATCACTTTTCTTGACATTGTAAGAAATTGGTTACTCACGGAAATTAAAGGGTTAAAACGGATTGCAAACTGAAAAATTTAGGCTCAGTTTCCAGATGCAGAAACCATGACATGGGTTCTTCCGGTAACAGGACTGAAAAGTACTTGTTACTCCTAGGAATTCATGCACTGTCTTTTCCAGAGACGATCTGTTGTAATCGTGCAGTTTCCCATTGAGACCCGTGATTAACCAGCAAATAGCAACAGTTACGGTAATAAATATCTAACTCACCTTTCGTCTTTGCTTTCACATGATGAATAGAATCCAGAAGATGGATACAATCGAATGAAAAGGGTCATTCTCATCGGAGATCATCATCAGGTATCTTTGTTGTACGCCAGTTTTTCGCGTGGTATTCGTCAGCTCAGCGGGCAATCCTTGAGCATACGCAACGGGTCAAATAGGCCATTTTGCAGTTGTGCACTTAGTTGCCAAGCCTTTGATTTGGAGTGAGGCTGAAGGTGACCTCGTGGTAGAGACCAGTATCTAGTTAGCGTGATAACAAAGTAATTTAAATTTGATAAGCGGCGAGGTTTGTATCATAACAAGGTCAACCTTCGCCTCATTCCTGTTCAAAGGCTTGGCAACCAAGCACTCAACGTAAAATGGACTATTGTCGCTGGGACTTATATAGGGAGCAATAAAGCGTTATTTTATATTTCCCTTTTTTTTCTTTTGTATTTATTTAGTTATTCATTTATGTATATGTATATATATATTTTTTTAAATTCTCAGCTTCCTCCTGTTATAAAGAACATGGCTTTTCAGAAGTTTTCCAACATGGAGCAATCTCTTTTCACGAGATTTGTCAGACTTTGTGTTCCCACAGTTGAACTCGATGCTCAAGGTCGTGCACGATCCAGGTATGAATTATTCAAACCTCGCCTGATTTTATCATCAAACCCAGGGACCAGTCAATGTTTATCTCCGGGGGGGAGGGAGTGGAAAAGTTTTGGGAGATCACATGGTTTTTCGGGAACCGGAGGGGGAATTAGTCACCGCCAACGGAGTTTAAAGGACGGAAGGACGGACCGTAGAAAATTGACCGTCAATTGAAGGGGGGGGGGGGAGGGAGGTTGATCGTAGGAATATCACAGAGCCTTTGGGGGGGGGGGTCACGCAAATTTTATAGTAACGAGGTTTGGTTTCTCCAGAATAAGTAAAATTCTTAACGGTGTCATGCTTTGAAAATTCGATAAAACCTCAGAGAAATGGGCGGTAAAGCTCGAAAGACTTAACCTTTTTAACATGACTTTCTTTCAGCCTATGTAGCCTGTACAACTGGAGGTACAACAAACTTGGTGATCTTCCTCATGTCCATACGTGGCCTGAGTACTGTGTGGAGAATCCTGGATTTTTCTTTGATTTTCAGCTGATCGATGTTCAGGATTTCAACGGCGTTGGCGAATCAGAACCCAATCCTTACTTTTATCAGGTAAGTACTTTGAATTTTACTAGGCTTCATGGCGAAGATCTGATATCCCCCTCCTTTGGGGATAACGGAGTGGTTCTAATGTTTGTTTCCGGTGGCCAGCGTTTTTCTCCAAGTTTTTCCTTTAATGTTCAATTCATGAATCATTTTACTTGTAACTGTGGGAGTCACGCAAGTATAAATGAAAATGTAACGGTAGCCCTGTCACCCACCACGGCGGGAACCAATTGCTTTGATAATAGCTTTCTCTTTCTTGACCACTTTAGAATCTAGGTGAGGCCGAATACGCTGTGGCCATCTTTATGTACATGCGCCTCATTGGGTACCCCGCTGACAAGATCGCCATTTTAACAACATACAACGGACAGAAGCATCTTATCCGTGACGTTATTAAGCAAAGATGTGCAAACAACCCTCTGATTGGACAACCGAGCAAGGTAAAGTGGAAGAAGGGTAGGGTTATGTTTAAGCTGTGATTGTAACTGGTACTGTCTTGGCTGAGGTCTGAGTCAGTTCTGCCTTTGAATAGCACATGTCTGTTTTGGTGTGTACCTTCAATAAGGTTGTGAACTAGCCTCATGCAGGATTTCACACAATCATATTATATGCCAAAGTATGCAACTAAATCCTCGGCAGCAACCTAGCAGTTAGTAATGAGGGATAACAAAACAACAAGATGGTTGCGGGAAAACACGTTACTGACGCTAAGAGTCACTTAGGGCGGGAAATATAAGTGGTGCTTGAAGCGGGAATGATTAGAATTTTTCAAGTGCGGGAGAGCTTGTTCTTGGCGCAAAGGGCGGGAAAACATGTAACTGGTGCTCAGCGCTACCGATCGTGGGAAATATACATTGTGCTAGACGCTGGAGAGATGTGAGTGGTGCAAAACGTAGTAGTCACGAGATATGTGCCAATGGCGAGAAAAACTTGTCAATGACTCTGAGCGCGGGAGAATATTCTATTGATGCCGTGTGACTACAACATATCTAAGCTCAGTGTGTTAACAATGGACCTTAAAACGATTTCGTTAGCGGGAAAAATTTTGGCGAGAAATCCCCATTCAAATTAAAAGTAAAAAAGAAAGACACAATTTGAATGAAAGTAGTAATTTTATTTCCAGTAACTCTTTTGTCCTCTCTTTTATTACTTGTGCAGGTCACTACTGTGGATCGTTACCAGGGGCAACAGAACGACTACATCATCTTGTCTCTCGTCCGCACCAAGACTGTGGGTCACATCCGGGATGTGCGCCGTCTTGTAGTGGCTATGTCACGTGCCAGGTTAGGTCTTTATGTCCTCGCACGTGTCAGCCTCTTCCAGAACTGCTTTGAGCTCAGACCTGCCTTCTCTCAGGTGAGTAGAACTTCTCATATTCTGAGTATACAAGGGACAACTAGTTCGTTGGCAACGCTTGCGTTAAGTCTTTTCAGAGTAGCGTTACGCGCGAATAAAGCGTCACGCCGTTTTGCGTTATGCCTAACCCAAATTTGGTCATAATTTGGCGTTTACGTGACTATTCATGAGGCTATCATCCATTGGTAAAACGTTGAAAGGTAAGATGACATCTACATTGTTCTCTTCTCCATAGTTGACCAGCCGACCGCTGAAGCTCTCCTTAGCACCTAGTGAAAGATATCCCCCGTCCAGACCGGTAAGTTGACTGACAGATTTCCAAATTATGTCGCAATGCATGGAGCATTTTGGTCTGGGCATATTTTGCTCCTTCCCATCCTTGTAAGGAGGAACACTTTCAGGAATTGAACGTATGCCTGTTATCTAATATTGAAAAGGGGACATGTGATTGTCACAAAGGCGTTGCATCACAATTTTAGGGTTCGTGACTTTTCCAACAAAATTTGGTCCACAGTTGAAGGTTTTAAACAATCAATCAAAAAAGTTAATTTTGATGGTGGTTTTTCTCAATTTATTTTGCGTCTTTCACCTGTTATTCGCGAAATGCACTCGCTATTTTACCCCTTTTTTTCCCTCATTAAATTAAGCGTGGAGTTCCTCCAGCTGAGCGACCGTTTATCGTCGAGGACATGCCTCAGATGCATCGCTTCGTGTATGACTTGTACAGTCAGTATGTGGAATCATTAAGAGCACAGAGAGAGGTTAGTTTGTTATCATATCTTATGTTTTATCAGAGATGCCGATCCATTTTCTTTAATTTTCCCGTCAACCGATGCTTGTGGAATTGAAAAGTGGACAGTGGACACTGCCAAAGCCCCATCTTTGTGAATTGCAACGTAAGCTAGCGGGGCAATCAGCCTAATATAATGTTATGATATGGGGGTCGTGGAACCGATTCTGAGCACGGGAAAGCACTCAGCACTTGCAGCCAGGAGCTAGCAGCATCAAGTGCGAAAAGATTTATAAGTGTGGGGGACGAATTTCTTTAAGCTCTTCCAATATTGTGTTGAAGTTATAGATTTCTTACCTGTTTATCTTTTAGTACATGGCTAACATTCCACAGCCGCCAGAGGAAGACAAAGAAGACGAAGAGCCGGCTGAGCAAGGCGGCGAGAAAGACGAAAACGGGACTGGAAATGTGAACGAAATAAACGAAGAGGCAGGATCGCCGATTGTGAATGAAGTGGAACAAATGGAAGAAGAAGCTAATTAACGAATTTTGCAGAACTCTAAAATGATAACTGGAGAATTTGATTTGAGGGTGATCAAAAATTCCGCTCTATTCGAGTATTTTGTTGTTGTTTGTTAGAAACAAACAACAACAAGTATAACATGCGCCAATAAAAAAAACATATTCTTGGTAAGCTATCAGACCCCCATGCGAAAATGTTTTGTATCTAGAGACTTAAAGCGACAGCACTGCCTTGGCGATGAATTGTGCGTCATTCCTTGTCGCCTACTTTTCTGTTACTATGTATGAACTCAGTTTTGTATGTGTAGAACTAAAGTAAAACCTCACTTTCGTGGTAAATATGTGGGACGTTTCCTCATTCACTCTACCGAAGAAGCGGCTATGGTGAAATGGCTTCGAAAGTTTTTCTTGGCAACCAGGAGAGCGAAAAAGGCAGCCCGAAAGATGGAGGAAAAAGAATACGAGTTAATTCGCCTTCTGTCTGTCGAGTTACTCCGGGCTCAATGCCTCCAGTGAAAAAAGAATATTTGGTCGTTGGTCAAGGGAGGCGGGGGGGCATGGCGCTGAATAGCTTATGCCTGCTTAAGTGCGTTTCAACAATTGTTTGTAACCTTTTTCGTTGGGATCACATCACTTTCTCTGTTCCATTTCGAAAAAGCCGTTAAATTTCAGATCGGGAAGGTTGCATGCTACCCACTTTCACTCTTATGATGTGCCAAGCAATCGTATCGAACCGTAATGTGACGAAGTGTTTTAACATAACAATTTAACCCGAATTAAGTTGTTCCTCATTTAATCTGGCAAAAGGATGCGAAAAACCAAATATCTCACACTGACCAGCCAAAACTAATTAGCCTAAGAGACATACAAATAAACAGTATACTGAAATAAAGTTCATTGGATACGCAACCTAACAATCCCACAGATCAGAGACTTGCCATCTTGATCTTTGGTTTGCGCTTCTAGTTTCGAAAGTAAATATTTGGGACTTTTGCTCAATCACTCCACCGAAGAAGTGGCTATGGTGAAAATGGCTTGGCAATTAGGAGAGCGAAAAAGGCAGCCCGAAAGATGGAGGAAAAAGAATACGAGTTAATTCGCCTTTTGTCTGTCGAGTTACTCCGGGTTCAATGCCTTCAATTAATTATTGGACTTGCTATCCACTTTCACTCTTGTGATGTGTCAAGCAATCGTATCGAACCGTAATGTGACGAAATGTTTTAAAATAACAATTTAACCCGAATTAAGTTGTTCCTCATTTAATCTGGCAAAAGGATGCAAAAAAACCAAATATCTCACACTGACCAACCAGGACTAATTAGTCTAAGAGATATACAATGTAACAGTATACTGAATTAAAGTTCACTGAATATGCAACTTAACAATCCCACAGATCAGAGACTTGCCATCTTGATCTTTGATTTGCGCTTCTAGTTTCACGTCACCGCTGGGGACAGAGGGTGAGACGAATTCGACCAAAACAAACTCCACTTGTACACCGCTCTTCAATGGACAAGATAATCCGTGGTCTTGACACGCATTGGGATTCGGCACCGGAAGGCGCACATGTATCGGTCCCTTGATAGCGTATGCGTAAATCTTAGCGCCGATGACAACTTCGTGCGGGATGAAGGTGATGGTGACTGTTTCATTACTTCCTTTCTTCAGAACGCACGGTTCTTCCTCGCACGGCATTACATCAATGGAGACGATTTCACCCAGCTCTTTAGTAGATGGGCACTTCTGGTAGCTGATTTTTTTGCAGGAAACTACTGCAAGCAGAGAGACAAGAAGGAAAACTACAGCCTTCATCTTGGGTTGCCTTTGCTCTTTCCTTTGCTCTTCAGCTTGGATTTGCAATTATAATAGAGGCGTGCTTTCGATGCGTCATTCAGTTTCGGTTTTTAAATGCAAATTATAACTCATTAGTGTCACACGACGGTTTTTTTTTTATCCCATTACACGTCACACCTCTTTCTTGTGATAAGGTTACAACCTGCTCTAAATAACCACAAACTGCGCAAGTGATAGTTAGGAGAGGGAAGAGCGTAAAAGGAGCGTGGGACTCGCCTGAACACGCAAAAATATCGCCTGTCGCTTGAGGTTGTTTCTATTCTGGTCCCTTTCCAACATAACTCATTAATGTCACGCAACGATTGTCTTTAAACACTTTACACCTCAACATCAGTATGCGTATTATCCACACTGTTCTTTATTCATTTCCTAAGGTGCTGAAAAGGAGAATTTGTCTAATAATCAAGAGATTGTAGCTTATCATTTCCTTTATTCTCGTGACCTTCATGTTTGATTCAGAGAGTTAAAAGAACAAATAAGTTGGATGTGTTCGCCACATGTTGGAGCTGACACTAATGTAATATTTTTTAGACGCAATGACACCAAAGCTATTAGAATAGAAAAAGTAACGCAGAATGTGGTAAAACAAACTGAAATGGTTCCGTTGTAAAGGTTTCTGAAACACTATTACCCCACAAAGAAATTCTTCCTAAATGGTTTTGAATTTAGAGAACTCGGCACCACACCATCTTCTGATGCGGGATGATTGGAAATGGGATATAAACACTACTTTCAATTTCTTTGACTCAGTAAATTCTGCCATAAACAAAGATCGTTCCTCAAATTATTAAAATTCATTTAAATTTCAATGCATGACTAACTAAGGCTTACAATTGCAAGCAGCTTTCTGTATATCAACGTCGATCTAACGAGCGTCTCAAAATTAAATGAATGCATTAGTGTTAATATACACCATAATGCATTTCCTCGTCGCTTTAAATTAGGAATTCAAATAAACTGACAAATACTATAAAAAAACATACCTAGAGCCATAAAAAATATTTATTCTTGGTTAGCTATCAGACACCCATGCGAAAATGTTTTGTATCTAGAGACGTAAAGCGACAGCACTGCCTTTGCGATGAATTGGGCGTCATTCCTTGTCGCCTACTTTTCTGTTGCTATGTATGAACTCAGTTTTGTATGTGTAGAACTAAAGTAGTAAATATTTGGGACTTTTCCTCAATCACTCCACCGAAGAAGCGGCTATGGTGGAAATGGCTTAACGAGTTAATTAGCCTTCTGTCTGTCGAGTTACTCCGGGTTCAATGCCTCCAATGAAAAAAGAATATTTGGTCGTTGGTCAAAGGGAGGCGGGTGGGGGGGCATGGCGCTGAATAGCTTATGCCTGCTTAAGCGCGTTTCAACAACTGTTTGTAATCTTTTTAGTTGGGATCACATCACTTTCTCTGTTTCCATTTGGAAAAAGCCGTTGAATTTCGGATCGGGGAGGTTGAAGATGGCTTGCTATCCACTTCCACTCTTGTGATGTGTCAAGCAATCGTATCAAACCGTACTGTGATGAAATGTTTAAAATAACAATTTAACCCGAATTAAGTTGTTCCTCATTTAATCTGGCAAAAGGATGCAAAAAAACCAAATATCTCACACTGACCAACCAGGACTAATTAGTCTAAGAGATATACAATGTAACAGTATACTGAATTAAAGTTCACTGAATATGCAACTTAACAATCCCACAGATCAGAGACTTGCCATCTTGATCTTTGATTTGCGCTTCTAGTTTCACGTCACCGCTGGGGACAGAGGGTGAGACGAATTCGACCAAAACAAACTCCACTTGTACACCGCTCTTCAATGGACAAGATAATCCGTGGTCTTGACACGCATTGGGATTCGGCACCGGAAGGCGCACATGTATCGGTCCCTTGATAGCGTATGCGTAAATCTTAGCGCCGGTGACAACTTCGTGCGGGATGAAGGTGATGGTGACTGTTTCATTACTTCCTTTCTTCAGAACGCACGGTTCTTCCTCGCACGGCGTTACATCAATGGAGACGATTTCACCCAGCTCTTTAGTAGACGGGCACTTCTGGTAGCTGATTTTTTTGCAGGAAACTACTGCAAGCAGAGAGACAAGAAGGAAAACTACAGCCTTCATCTTGGGTTGCCTTTGCTCTTTCCTTTGCTCTTCAGCTTGGATTTGCAATTATAATAGAGGCGTGCTTTCGGTGCGTCATCCAGTTTCGGTATTTAAATGCAAAATGCACGCAATGGCACCAAAGCTATTAAAATAGAAAAAGTAACGCAGAATGTGGTAACACAAACTGAAATGATTCCCATGTCAACTTAGATAAACATGTTATGAACACCTGCAAAACGGCTTTCTATCATTTACGAAATATAGCAAAGATAAGAAACTGTCTCTCTCAAGATAATGCTGAGACACTTGTTCATGCATTTATTTCATCCAAGTTGGATTTCTGTGATGCCCTTCTATATGGCTCACCCAATCGGTTATTGATAGGCTACAGTATGTACTAAACTGCGCAGCTCGACTGGTGACTAGAACCCGAAGCTTAGAACATACAACACCAGTTCTTCGTAGACTACATTGGCTACCAGTCAGACAACGAACTGCGTACAAAATACTACTTCTTACGTACAAATTTAAAACACTGAATGGCATGGCGCCAAAATATATAGCAGATCTACTCCAGCCCTATACTCGGACGAGGCAATTACGATCTTCTTCATAAAATCTCCTTGTAACACCAAAGTCTAATCTCAAGTTTTACGGTGACAGATCTTTTCAAGTTGCTGCGCCTAGGCTCTAGAACTCCCTAACCGATGACATAAGATCAATCCAGAACCTTGATGTTTTTAAGAATAAGATTAAAACACAACTTTTTAGAGAGGCTTTTATTAATAAGTTGACTACCCATTTTTTGACTTTTTATTGTATATATTTTCCTCAGTTAATCTTAGCAAGTCGATTGTATCTTATTTTCTAGAAATTAACTTTTATAACTGTTATATATTTTCTTTAATAACTCAAATGTTTTTTGGTTTTTTAGAATTACGATTGTTGTAAAGCGCCTTTGAGCTCACGGAAAGGGCGCTGTATAAATTTTTGTTGTTGTTATTATTACATGGCCAACATTCCACAGCCGCCAGAGGAAGACAAAGAAGACGAAAAGCCGGCTGAGCAGGGCGACGAAAAAGAGAAACACGGGACAGAAAATGCGAACGAAATAAATGAAGAGGCAGGATCGCCGATTGTGAATGAAGTGGAACAAATGGAAGAAGAAGCTAATTAACGAATTTTGCAGAACTCTGAAATGATTACTGGAGAATTTAAACAGAGGGTGATCAAGAATTCTGCTCTATTCGAGTCAAAACGTGATTAGAGTTAGAGACAAACAACATCAAAATATATCGAGAGCCATTAACTTATTCTTGGTTAGCTATCAGACACCCATGCGAAAATAGTTTGTATCTAGAGACGTAAAGCGACAGCACTGCCTTGGTGATGAATTCTACGTCAAACGTTGTTGCTTACTTTTCTGTCACTATACGTGAACTCAATTTTATATGTGTAGAACTAAAGTAAATCCTTACTTTGGTAGTAAATATTTGGGACTTTTCCTCATTCACTCTACCGAAGGGAGCGGCTATACTGAAAATGGCTTTGAAGGTGTTTACCATGGCAACTAAGAGAGCGAAAAAGGCAGCCCGAAAGACAGAGGAAAGAGAATGCGAGTTGATTCGCCTTCTGTCTGTCGAGTTCATGACTCCTGGTTCAATGCCTTCAATGGCGTTGGGATCACATTACTTTCTATTTTCCTAATCTTTTTCGTCGGGATCACACCACTTTCTCTGTTAGTAATCTTTTTCGTTAGGATCACATCACTTTCTCGTGATAAGGTTGCTACATGTTAAATAGCCACAGACTGCGCACGTGCTAGGTGGGGAAGGGAGAGGATAAAGGGCGAAAACACGGAGCGTGTAACTCGCCTGAACACGCAAAAATGACGCCTGTCGCACAAGGCTGTTTTATTCTAGTCCCTTTCCAACTTAATTCATTTGGAAAAGGCGTAAAATTTCGGATCAAGGAGGTTGAGGATGACTTGCTACTCACTTTCACTCTTGCGATGTGTCAAGCAATTGTATCGAACTGTAACGTGACGAAATGTTTCAAAATAAAAACTTAACTCGAATGAAATTGTTCCTAATTAAATCTAGCAAAAGGATGCGAAAAACCAATTATCTCACACTGACCAACCAGAACTAATTAGTCTAAGAGACATACAATATAACAGTATACTGAAACAAAGTTCACTGAATATGCAACTTAACAATCCCACAGATCAAAGACTTGCCATTTTGATCTTTGATTTGCGCTTTTAGTTTCAAGTTACCGCTCGGGAAATCGGGTGAGATGAATTCGACCAAAGCAAACTCCACTTTGACACCGCTCTTCAATGGACAAGATAAACCGTAGCCTTGACACGCATCAGGATTCGGCAGCGGTAGGCGCACGGGTATCAGTCCAAAGATAGCGTATGCGTAAATCTTAGCGCCGGTGACAACTTCGTGTGGGATGAAGGTGATGGTGATTGTTTCATTGCCTCCTTTCTTCAGGGCGCACGGTTCTTTCTCGCACGGCGCTATATCAATGGAGACGATTTCACCCAGCTCTTTAGTAAACCGGCATTCCTGGTAGCTGATTTGCTTACAGGAAACTATTGCAATTGCAAGCAGAGAGACAAGAAGGAAAACTACAGCCTTCATCTTGGGTTGCCTTTGCTCTTTCCTTTGCCCTTCAGCTTGGATTGGCAGTTATAATAGTGGCGTGCTTTCGGTGCGTCATTAATGTCACGCGACGATTGTCCTTTACCCCATTAACACGTCTCACCACTTTCTCGTGATAAGATTATAACCTGCTACAGTAACCACAAACTGCGCACGTGCTAGGTGGGAGAGGGAAGAGCGTAAAAGGCAAAGACACGGCACATGTGACTCACCTAAACACGCACAATAATGCCTGTCGCACACGGTTCCCTCTCCAACATAACTAATTAATGTCACGCAACGATTGTCCTTTAACCCGTTACACGTCACACCACTTTCTCGTGATAAGGTTACAACCACAAACTGCGCACGTGCTGGGTGTAAGAGGGAAGAGCGTAAAAGGCGAAGACATAGAGAGTGTGACTCGCTTGAACACGCAAAAATAACGCCTGTCGCTTAAGGTTGTTTTTATTCTAGTCCCTTTCCAACATAACTCATCAATGTCACGCAACGATTGTCTTTTAACACTTTACACCTCAATATCAGTATGCATATTCTCCACACCGTTCTCTATTCATTTCCTAAAGTGCTGGTAAAGAGAATTTGTCTAACAATCAAGAGATTGTAGCTTATCATTTCCTTTATTCTCGTGACCTTCATGTTTCATTCAGAGGTGATATCGCAAGGAGTTAATAACCCTTTAACTCCCATGAGTGACCAAGACAGAATTTCTCCCTACAATATAAAGACAATATCAAGCAGATAAGTCATGAGAATAAAGAATAATATCAATTTGGGGATAATTAGTTGATCCAATACTAAATTTCCTGAACTAACATTATAAGAATTTTATGGTTGACTATAAGGAGAAATAAAAATTTGATCTGGGAGTTAAAGGGTTAAAGAGAACAAAAGTTGGATGTGTTCGCCAGAAGTTGGAGCTGACACGAATGTAATATTTTTCGACGCGATGACACCAAAGCTATTAAAATAGAAAGAGTAACGCAGAATGAGGTCACACAAACTGAAGTGGTGCCGTTGAGAAGGTTTCTGAAACGCTATTTTTTTACAAAGAAATTATTTTCAAATAGTTTTGAATTTAGAGAACTCGGCACCACACCATCCTCCGACGCAGAATTGGGGGGGGGGGGGGGGGGAGGGGGGGAGATGGTATATAAACACTACTTCCAATTTCTTGATTCAGTAGATTCTGCCTCAAAGAAAGAACCCTCCTCAAAATATTCAAATAAATTTAAATTTTAATGCATGACTAACTAAGGCTTACAAGCAACTCTCTGAACTTAAACGTCGACCTGTAGAGCGTCTCAAAATTCAATGAATGCAATAGTGTTAATATACACCACGATGCATTTCATCGTCGTTACATTTCATTTACTTAAAATTAGGATTTCAAATAACTTGACAGATGCTGTAGATTGAATTTAGAAAAAATGATATATTACGAAATATATATTTAAATAATATAAAAATATATTTTTAATTACCATGCATCATTTCATATTGACAGAAGATTACAGGTAGCAATCTTCTGGTATTTATTATTAACGTTATATATTAAGTTTTTGATGAAGAGGTCGAATGCCTCCCAATAAGCCTATCTTATTGGACGATCTACCGATTTCAATCGAGGAGTAGTATCATTACACCCGCTTTTTTTCCGACAGTCGACTCAGTATGTTCCCTGGAAACATCGGGGACAAAAAGTTACGGGCATTCCCGACTTGAAAAAGCGACACGCACACCTGAGTCTATCAGCGAATAATCATCACGAGAAAACCAATAAAATTCTCACTTTTCCAATAAACCCAACGAACCAACTGATCACAAATCTCACCACGATCGCGAGGGAAGTTGAAGCCTTCACAAAGAACTTCATCAAAGGCAGCTACACAAGGGAAACAGTAAAAGTGATAGCGATTGTTTAAAACTCCAAGCGTGCACTATCATCGCAATCTCGCTGCTCAGTGTTCTGGTTAAGGAAGAAAAACGACGGTTGAATAAGTACACTGAACCTGTCTGTTTTTTTTTTTTTTTTTTTTTTTTTAGTGGTTATAAGACAAAAATATCAATATATTAGAAATAATTCTATCCAAAATATATTAACAATTGTATTTGGATTTAATTCAAAGGTAGAATTGTGAATAAATTTCTCTGAATTATTATAACTTACTGGATTGTCTCCAACGAACAAATTTTGTGACGCAGGGAATGCTAAATTTCGCATTCATAATTCGTTACTGCAAATATAAAAGCTTTTACTATGAACACATAGCAGAAATGTAATTCTACATGAAATCTATAAAACTTAAGTTGCAATCTTAGACAATAGGTCGGCACCTCGCCCCCATACTCAGACTGCAGAATATAAAATTTCCCTCCTTTGTGAGTGACTACAAAACAAATGTAGCGATTTATCTGAAAAATCGTGAAAACAGCAGTGAGCCAATGAGTGAAAAGCTAATACACGTGATCAGCAGCAAAGCGTGGGAAAGCGTGAGCTGCATTGCTTTTGTCATCCAATCACAAAGCCAGGTACGGCAAAACCTACTAAAATCCTTACTACTTTCAACATTCAATTTGCTTCTCGACCTCCTTGCAAAATTTCACTAATCTTCAATTTTCTTGAATTCCCATCCTCCTTCTCCGTCAAGGTTCAACTCAAAGTCGTGAAACTAAAGAAAAAATATTGAAGAGGGACGTTACCAATCCATGCATTTGTGTCAAGTCATTTCAATTCTTCCATTTGGTTCTTCGTGCTTTTGTGTAATCGTTTTTGCGTTAGTAAGCGCGCTCGTGAGTTCGTGCGTTCTTTCGTCAGTCCATTCCTACACTTGTTATTTCGTTCGTTCTCGCTCTCGTTTGCGCGAAGATACATACCTGCCTGAGGGATCTCCTATGACCAACGCTTGACACAGTGATTCCAAAGTCCTGGCAAATCGAATACAGCTTGCTCTCCGTGGAAGTGTCTAAGGCACTTGTAGCTTCATCTAGGACTGAAGAGAACAATTGTTGTTCCATAAAAAATTTAAAAAATAATATCAACAATGAAGCTATTTAGCGTTAATAATTTTCAACTTTGTCCAAAAGAAGTGAGATTTTTTACTTACGCGCTACTTGTGGTCTTTGATAGAACAAACGAGCGAAAGATAACCGTTGCATTTCTCCTGGAGTCAGCATGTCCTCCCTGCATCAAAAGATATTTCTAAGTTCCTCATCTGGAATAATAATCAGTTTTAACTAAAAATACAAACAATCAAACAACAAGCAGATTTTCTATGGGAGAATTTTGAAAGACTTAAAGCTGCGTTGCGGCTTAGGATTGACTCATCGCTTGCTTCGTGGGAGCAAAGCAAGCTTTCTCCGTGCATTTCTGCCCGTACAAGCTGAGGAGCAAAGACATGCAGAAGCGTTCGAGATTTCATCACCTACCACTTGCATTCCACAGGACTATCAAGGCCACCCACTCGGCTGCAGAGATTTGCCTTAGGAGAGAGAGAGAAACAAAGTACACAAATGAACCTCAGTAAACCCAATTTGAGTAAATTAGCCCAAGGAATTTTAAATATTTCTTTTCATTTCTGTAATAAATGTGTTAATGGTGATAAAATTCCCAAGGAGGGAAATCATAACTTATGTACACCTGCCCCCTTCCCTCCATCTTTTGGAGGGTGGGGGGGAGGGGGGGGGCGGCGGCGGCGGCGACGACTATACACAGGATAGGAAATCAAAGCGACGAAAACCGGAAATTATCTGAGACTACAGGAACAAAATTCTTTGAGCATTTTCAGTAGAAATCCCCGATGCGAACACAGGTTGAGAAGTTTTCCATAGAGGAAAGCGTCGAGCTGATGTCTTCACGCAGTTTCTAAGATATTGGTAAATCTGATTGACCCTGATAAAATAATACTTTTTGCTTCCGAGATGTTCATAGATGTTCATGGAGTGAAGTAGAGCGAACAAAGAAATAAGGGCTGTTACGCTAATATTCCAGTATCGCGTTCGTTTCCAAAAACCAGGATTTGATTACAACTTCTATTTAGGAACAGTGAACGAGGGAAAGGTAAGCGAAAGCTTCCCCTCCTTTGCACTTGTTCTATGCATTATCGTCCACGAAATCTTAGAATTTCACTTGTGTAGTTGACAAGTTCACTTCATTTACTTACAAGCCCTACAGTGTCGAGCAATCCAAGAAGTTTCTCGTCTTCGTCACCTGTGTTTAAAATGAAAATATGGCGAAATACACATTGGAAGATACATGCAAATTTTCACTAATCGAAATTTTTACGATCACATTTAGTTATTGGTTGGTTAACGGTGCATGTTCACAGCGTGGAAAACCGCTAGCTAACAAGGAGAAACCAATAAAGCGCGCTTCTATAGAGCTTTGAAGACTAAAACCAAATAAATCAATACCAAAATCGGCACGTGGCCATAATTGTTAGTTTTGCATATGATTGGTTGAGAGGGTGGCGCGAGTTTTCACGACCAATCAGAGAGCGTATTGAAGCAACTACGAACTGAACCATAACTGTCATTACCTGCTTCAGAGTGGCCTCCATAAAGGAGAAGATTTTCACGAGGGTAAGTTAACTGGAAAAATCAACAACAAATAAAAATAAGACAGACAGTTTAACTACGGGCGACAAAATAACGATGATTATGGTATCTGAGGGGAAATCAAGCATTTTGCGTAGTATCTCCCCCATTTCAGAGCCATATCATAGACTTATCTCCAATTTAAAAATGATTAAGCCTTGATCAATGACGAAAAGTAGTTCACCAACAAGAGAAGTCAGAGAAAACACACGTGACCGACGAACAGCGCGGGAAAACGTACCAGACGTATTACTTGACGTCACATCAACACAGTGGTCAAACCAGAGCGCATGTGCCTCCGTGGCGTGCTTCCAGACTGTCAAAGCCAAGTGTTGTCTTATCGACAACCACACAGGCGAATACGTTGCAGTTGGTAAAGCCCAAAAAGCTCTGTGTATGAAAATACTCAGTTTTTTTCCCTACTTTTGTTCCATTTTACAGATTTAAACGAACGTTCCGACGTCTTTTTTTTCCCACACATTTTGCGTGACAGTGGTTGTTTCTTACGTTTTCCTTGGTGCGCGGCCGGTAAAAAGTTACTCCACTGCGCATGCCTTACGTTTGACCCCTGTGTTTTTGTTGTGTTTTGCCGCGTACTAGTTTGCCAATCATTGTTCGTCAAACCTGTCTCCCTCATAACTTTTCTTTAGTTTGTTGCTTATTGTCATTGGCGCTGAGATCAGGAGAACTTTACCTGTTGTCGTAGTGTACCATCCGTAACGAAAGTCTTTTGTGGTAGGAAGAAGACAACTTTGGGATCGAAAGGTAAAAACCTTATAACCTCTCCTGTAAAAAATGGAAAAAGAATAAGCGACCTGACAAATTGTTGCATGAAATCTTATGCAAGCTGCCCACTTTCAAACAAATTGAGGTCAGAGGCCATAAAAGGTATTTTTTCTTTCACCGGCTCAGTTTTTCCCATCCCGATGCACAATTTTTAGAGATCCGTGATTGTTTGTTCAAGGCGGGGGGAAATTTCCATCCCAGGAATAACCAATCAGAGACTGTACGAGGGTCGTTATGGAGTGACATCAATAACATAAAATACAATCATATTGGAAACTTTTTGTAACAGCTACTACAAGAAATTATAATAAAACGATATTCAAAATAGCTAATTCTACAAAGGTTCATGTTACATTTGGGTAAATATATCATACCTGAAAGAGGAGCCCACATTCCGCTCAGGATCCTAAACAAAGAGCTCTTTCCACTTCCTGGAAAAAGAAAATAGAAAACCACTTCAATGAAGAGAAACATTTGCGAAATCATAGCAGCATTCTCCGACTTTTTTTTTTCGTTGGAGGAGTTGGCTCTATTTGAATGAGCAAAACTACCATAAGTTTGAAGGAGCCTGACCTCTTAATGTTTGTTGATAGAAAAGAAAAAGTTACACATATTAATAGTGACAAAGTGATTGGTTTAAAAATTCGCGCTACCCTCTCAACCAATCAGATGCAAAGCGCCTTTGTCACCCGCGTTTTCCCGCCCTTCAGGTGGGTTTTCATTGGCTCGTTTCCAGACAAAAAATTCTCCAATGGCTTTCAAGTCAGTGATTACAGGAAATATAAATTTATTTCAGTGCAGCAAAGTCAAATATGGCAAACACAATTACCAGTGGTTCCTGTTACGAGAATATTCTGGCCATGGCGAATCTCCAAATCAAGATCTAGAAAAAATTCACAATGAGCTTCAAAACAGAGTAAAATTTACCAAAGTTACATATAATAATCAAAATTGATCAAACATATTACAGAAAACAAACAATAAACCAACTCAATTATTAGATTGTTCCAACCAGCACCTCAGACCAATAAGGCAAAGATAACGAAGAATTGACGAGGTATTTATCTCTCACTTCACTTCACTGATTAGTCAGTTTTTTGCGAATGCCTCCAGTAACAACAGCCACAATGTAAGGCCACAAACATTAAAAGCTAGTTTTATAGACGGAATTTTTCATATTTAGCTACCAATACATCTGTTACAAGTACCAGGCTGAAATAATTATGCAAATGTTATATCTAGTGCTGGACGTTATGTCTCACCTTTGACCAGAGCATCTGTGCAATTTGGCGGAGCATAGGAAACACAGCTGAACTTGAATATAACATCACTGTCTTGTGAAGCTAAATTCTCAACTCTACTGAAGCATTAAAAAAAATTTATATGAAAAATGCCTTGTCAACTGAACTACAACATAACACTACAAGTTCACCTTCTTAAGCTTCAACTTCCAAATTAATCCCTTTAAAATACTCTTTCATTGAGTTTTGTGTTAAGCAATCAATTCACAGAAAAAACAAGAAACAACATACTCAGTTTAACAAAGAAATTCTATGATGTCGTCGATCTGTTCAGTAATGGATCATAGATGGAGTCAAAATGTGCTAAGAATGAAAAATTGGCACTTGAGGGGTGCAGCTGAGTGTGTCCATATTTGATGTCCACTGTGATCTATTACTGCTCAGACCCACGGCAACATAGATTCTATTTGTCTTAACCCTTTAACTCCTAACATCTGATTGTTCATTCTCCCATCTAGCTGCTACACATTTCCTTGTATATAAGTTACAAGAATTTGGTGTTAGATCAAGATAACTTTTACCAGGTACATTTGAGAGTTCTCATTACCTGTTTGCTAGATAGTGCATGGATATTGTACAGAGAAGTTACTTGTTAATCACTTCTGGGGGTGAAAAGATTAATTGATAAAACAAAATGATGTTTATTGTGATATCAACCATGAATCTGTCCTCTATTAGTGAATACAGTGTGAATGAGTGTAGAATACAGCTTATTATATATAACAATTATTCCACAAGCACACACCAAAAATGAGAAGATAGATATTAACAAACACAAGTGGAATAATAGTTTTAATAAAAAGTGCCCCAAAATATATACAAATTTTCCCTAAATTTTTTTATAAGAACAAACAGAATGTTTCAATGTACAAAAACACTTTTGGTTTAAGTCATTGCAATACACACTTTGGTATAATGGCTCATAGCCCATGATGGCTACGCCAATGAAACCTCTTGAATTGCATTATCCAGTGATCCAGTTTTTAAATCAAAACATATAGTTACATGTATTTGTCTAACTTAGGATTACCCGAAATGTTCTGGATGTTCCTCGGTCTTCTGCTCTGTTTCAGTTTTCATGTCGGAGAAAACTTCCAACAACTGACCTATCCTGGGGATCCAAGAGGAAGTTAAAAAATTCAGCGGAAATTCAATGATAGAGGAGCCAACAGCATACATGAAGCATTGCTTCTTTGTAAATTTTTTTTATTAAACTCAACCTTTTTTGAATTTCTTGTCTTTTTATCTAAAAGCATCCTAACAACTAAAGCCAAGATCATTTTTCTGTTCCCATTAAACCCTCTAAGACTGACTAGCATCTAATTTCTCCTCACAAATATCCCCCTAAATCAATGCATTTAAGTCAGGAATAATGGAAAAGATCACTTACTTATAAAGAAGCTCAAGATTGTGACACAAATTCCCCCTGTCAAATGTATAGAGAATAATGTTAAGCACAAGCAGCTTACCTGTGAACATATCCAGCCATATTGGTAACATCTACAGACAAGTCAATCAGCTTTGTGCAGCAGTTTATCAGGTACATTGCAAAAAATGAGTTCTAAAAGTTTGAGATGAATGCAACCTTGCAGTTACTAAAGACAGATAAGATATCAGGGATTTTATTGAATATTAAATGGGAGATTAGTTATAAAAGAGTGATGTATACCAACACTAGGTAGGAGAACATCCACATGTTTATTCTACATCTATGGATTCCAAGTCATATTGAAGCTGGGATAAAAGAGACAAGAACTAACAAAAAGAGAATTTGATGAATTTGACAGATTTGAAAATTTGATGTACAGTCTAGAATTAAGCCTTGGTCAAAAGGAGGAGGGAGGAGTGGGGAAGTAAACTTTCCCTCTCCCCCCCTGTTCACCAATAAAACACTGAAATGCAAACACTCTGGTAAGGGTCCATTGTTGGTTTAAGGAGCAGATCCCAATGCAATTAGTGAGAGTAGTTTCGATAGTCAAAAACCCGATATTAAGTCAACAGTTTAAGCCACCATATTATGGTTGGAAAAGACTTACTGAAGCTAGTGAAATAATGGAGAGAAAGACAAGAAGCTAGCCCTGACCATTGAAGTATTAAAAAACATTACAGAAACAAAATCATTTAGTTTATGCCTAACTACCCTAAGAGCATTTTGTGTCAGTGAATTCCATGAGGCAACAGACTTCTACCTGGTCAGTCTTCAGGTTACCACAAAACAGTATGATAATACTATCAATGACATCACTGGTTTTCACTGGCAGGATATTGAAATAAATAAAGACAGAGACCCTTCATACATACCCTACTTATCTCTCCACCAAGAGCAGTTGTAGACATGTTGTCAAACTTTCCTCCAAACAAAGCAATTGCTATAATAAGGTAGCTGAGAATTGCACCCACATAATCAAACATATTTATAGAGACTGCAAAATAACATAAAAGACAGGTTGATCACAAATATTTTCATCATATAACTGGTAATGCCTTGCACCACCTCCTCTTTCATTGGGGAGAAAATTGGACAAAAATCCCTGTATGGGGGCTACATGCAAGGACATGACCGAGGCCACAAAAAGCCAAATAGCCAAGCTACATACAAGGACATGACTAAGGCCACAAAAAGCCAAATAGCCAAGCTACATACAAGGACATGACTAAGGCCACAAAAAGCCAAATAACCAAGCTACATACAAGGACATGACCATGGCCACCAAAAGCCAAATAGCCAAGCTACATGTACATGCAAGCTGAAAGATAAGGAGAGGAAAGACAAAAAGTGAGGGTTATATGATAAAATGGTTATTGTAGTTTCAATTAGGCCCAGCTGGAGTGGAAAACATTTAGCAATTTGTCCTAAAATCATGACCTGGAGCCAAACATTTTCCCATCCAGCCCTCCGACTCAGTCAGTAAGTACATAAGAGTTACTCATTTGGCAACTTGACATAAATTTAATTTGATTTCTGATGATTTTACTATAATTTTAAAGAACTTACAGAAAAGGAAGCTCTCAAAGGTCACAATTCTGGTCTGAACTTTTATAAGTGACTAAAAAAAAAAAAAAAAAGACAACATTATGCTGAATATACTGAATCAGAGCAATGAGATGAGCTGTAAAAGGAAAAATTTCAACAGTACAGCTGGAAAGAAAGAATAACAGTTCACCAGTCTGGTAAAAATAACACAATCCAAGACAGGGATTTGAGTTAGAGAAGAGCCAACTTCAAACACCAAACTTTTCACAAGTCAAACCTTATATATTCATCAGAATTAAATTGTACATGAAAATTCAGCATTTGAATCACAATAAAGACAGCTAGCTCTGTCAGTTTTGCCAATGCAGCCATTCTTCCCACCTGCGAGGCTTGGTCAGGAATTTATTTGAAATGCCTTTCATTCAGACATCAAACTATTCATGAGCTAAACCATAACATAAATCCCATGATTAACAATAGAACCATCGTTACATTCTGATTGAATGTTTCCTGGTAAATCTGTTCTTGCTATAAAGATCAGGCAAAGTTTTGCATAGTTTCAGTTTCAGTAACTCATTGAATCCACCATATAAGGGTTAGCCTTCTCCAACACACCAGAGGTCTGTTTGCTGCCCTGCTGTGGGGTTCCAATCAAGCCTTCAATGTTACCAACTGCAAGTTGTTGAACTTGTGGAGTGGAGTTCCCATTGTACTTCACCCTCACTCTCCCATCCCCTACTTTGGGACATTGCCCAGGGTTCAAAACCAGGACATGAGAGGGACTTTGCACCCCACTGGAGATTCATCGTAAACACCCTAAGATCCTCAGAAGAAGTGACAATGGCCTACTCTTTTGTAACATGGAGACCCATCAATGAGTTCATTGGTTTTAGCTGTTGACACATTAATCCCTAACGATAAATACCTGTAATTTTGAGTTGGTTTTTCTCATTTCTAAGCCAGCAGATCTGTAAAATGCTATTGATTCTGCATTTGATCTGATTTGCATGTGTTTGAACCTGAAACAATTTCAAAAAAAAAATCCTTATCAAAAATATTAGTGAAGATCCTACTACTGATACCCAAGCCTCATATATCATACCCAAATTTATCACTATGACTCTGACACCAATTTCTGAAGAGAAGGCTTTTTGTTTAAGCCAGGCTTGAAACAAAATAAGCTAAATAAACTGTTCTATTCATACCAAAAAAAATTATATCAATACACAGGAAAAATCAAATAAACGAAATATAGATGAACAAAAAAAAGACAAACATAAAAAATTCCACCTCAGAGGGTTTCTGCTTAACCCTTCACTCCCATAAGTGACCAAGACAGAATTTCTCCTTACAAAATCAATATAATATCAAGCAGACAAGTAATGAGAATAAAGAAAAATATCAATTAGGGGATTACTAGCTGATCCAATAAACAAATTCTCCCAGGTAACATCAAGAGAATTGTATGGTGTACAATAAGGAGAATTTCTAATGAGATCTTGGAAGTGAAAGGGTTAATTCCAGGACAAACAGAGATAAGAGAAATTACCTAAAGTCTCCTTCAAGCTTCTCTTGCTTCACAACCAGGTTAACAATTGGTGACATTACTAATTTGTTTATTATTGTTCCAACAACAAAGAAGGCGTATATGGACACTGGACCAAGATATCCTGAACTGAAAACAAAACAACAACACACTGATGAGCATTAGTTAATATATAAATTTAGCCAAGCCTAAAAGCAGAGTTTGCATTTTTTTTTTCCTGCACATCTCAAGGGCACAACACCTTGCCCCGGCCACGGCTAGAACCCCGGGTCGTCTGACTCGGAGCCCAGTGCACTGATCACTGGACTACTGAACAAAGCCATGGCGTTAGTGTGCCCGCAGCACAGTTGACCACACATGATAGAAGTAGCACCTTGTATATGGTTGTACGGTCGTACATCCAAATTTTTTCAGCTTCATGGGTTACTACTATTTTGTATAATTATGGGGCTACACTCTGCGATCTCCACTGAAATATACATAAACAGCTTATTTTGATCAGCTGGTTACTGCAGTTGAGGAAGGCAATGACAAACACAAATTATAACAAAGGTCAGAGTATTTACTAAAGACAGAGTCTCAACCAGCAGGCAACCATCTATTTCAATTCTTCCCTTCTACGCCCTGCCCTGCCTTGCACCACCAGCCCCACCCATCTACCAACCTGTCCCCCACCTACTCCAAGAATGAATCCAAGACTGAATTCATAAAAACATCAGCTACTGCCTACAACCTAAGTCTTCTGCATGCTTAATTCTCTTCCTCCTCAGTTTTTATTGTAGTTCTCCTCACCCTCCAACCCAAAAAAACAACTCATTTTTCTCTATCTAACCTTACAGCCTGAGTGCAAAATATTTTGGGAGTGGGGGAGGGGAAGGGGGTATGCATTTATCAACAACTTTTGAGCCCCTGTAGTTTAAATAACTCCAACACTAAGTTTCTCCACCTCTCCCCTCCCCCACCAAACTATTTTTTCCTCTGTTTACCAGTTAACCCATTAATGCTTCTGTGAAGAGAGAGGCACTGTAAAGGTAAAGTATCTTGGCCATGAGACAATGAGGCTTCATTAACCTCAACCTTTTGTGTACCAAAGGCAGAAGGCAAGAATTTTTGCTTCTCACAAATGGCTAATTTTTCCATTGTGAAAGTTCAGTTTCTTTGCTACCAACAATTATAATAATTTCATCTTAAAATCTATATAATATGATAATCACCTCTGATAGCACAGGTATGTGTAATATGTAATGGTGAAAGGGGAAACCACAACAACAATGATCACTTTTCTAAATGTTTCGCAAAATCTTTCCACATCCTGGGTAATCCTCTGATCTCTGAAAGAAATAAGGAAATTTTGCATTAAAAGAAATGTAAATAGTAACAAAAACCCTTGCCATCTACTAACACTTCTCCATCCAAGGCCAACTATATTATCAACTACATGACATTGCTTGGATATAAATCTTTATTAACTGTTTGAAGCCTAAAAGTGACTAATTTACCCTACAATATCATCCCTGAATCACACATTAGGGTTAAGAAAATAAAGAAAATGAATACAGACTAATGAAGCTCTTCATTGTTAAATATATTCCTACAGTTCCACACTTACCTTAACAGGAAAAAAATTTATTCATTGATTAAATATTATCATATTAGGCCAGCCAGCGATAGGGTCAGTGGATCCTGTGTACATGCAGAGTCCTAATATGACATGCAGAGTACAAGAAGAAAGGCAAAAGGCAAAAGGCAAAAGGCAAAAAGAGAGGCCATTGTATTAATTTATTTACTGTGTAAGGTTAGGCCACAGAAAACATACAGTTTGTATGTAGTTCTTGCTTATGGCATGGACTTCACTGCTTGGTCCTGACAGGCTAAATACTTTCCCATCTAGCTCTCCTATCTCAGCAATAAGTATATAACATGGACATTCTACTCACATGTTGTCATATTTGTCATCTAGGACATTCAGTTTATAATAAGCCCTATGCTTAAAATAGCCTGCATGAAGTTTCCTACAAAGTAACTCTCTCCATTTGACATAAAGAATTCTTGAGACAAATTTCATTGCACTGTTTGCCTAAAAATAATAAAAAAGAAGTCAAATAAATATTATTATGGAGGAAATAGTCTATGGAAAAACAAGCTTATAAAACTGTGCACAAAATTTTTTTTTACTATTTTATGTGAATGTTAACCTTATTAATATGAATCTATAATTCTATATAAATAAGTGAGAGGTCCAGCCTGGGTAAAAGCAGTTAGTTCTTTCCTACATGAAGCAATTTGTTCAGCTTGCAATTCATAAGACTTGGACAGACCCAGTTACTTTGTACCATGCTAGTGCATTCTAATTGCTTGGGTATCTGGGCATGTTTTTATTTACAATCAACCAAGCAAGAAACAATTTAGATCTAGCTTCAAAGAAAGTTTTAGTTTCCTACCCACACCACAAGCACTTTTGATTGTTTCTATATTTCATTGGTGTTTGTAATAAATTCCTGATTACTGGACTGCTGTATTAGTGTATCTGTCAAATACCTTTGATGTAATAGTCTAGATTTTTATGTATGCAGAATATAAATTATATACATTCAATAAACTGCCTAGTCCCAAAACAAGCCTCATTTTTTTGTGCTGTTGAGTTGCCATTTCATAATACAACTACCATTTACAGCAACTGGTAAAGAAACCACACACAAAAAAACCCTAATTATCAGCAAAAAAAACTAATAAAAACCACCAAGGCTTGTGAGATTAGGTCCCCCCCCCAAACAGTACCTGGCAGATATAATTCTAGACAGCAGATAATGTGTTGATAAGCCATAGTAAGTCCATAGTAAAATTAAAAGTTATTAGTAATATATAGGATGCAAAAGATGAAGAACCAGTAGTCTCAGGATTTGAGATAGTTGAAAAAACATTTGCCAAATATTTGTTCTTCATAATTGTGGACAAAAGGAGTTTGCAAGCCTTAAGTTGTAGCTGTGGATAATAATGAGCCAACAGTCAATACCATAAAGGAGGTTTTTTTTTATCTCAGTTGAAAACTTACCAGTGAAACACCAATGATTATCAGAAGAGATGATATCAAAAGACTTGAAAAGTCCTCTTTATCTCTGGCTAAAAGAACTTCATAAAATCTGCTTGGTATTAACCCAGTGTTGTAAACCATCATTTGAGCTGGAAGAAAATGCACACATGATAAACTGACTCTTCATTGTAGTTCAAAATTCTTCTTAGTTTCAAATATCTTAAACCACTTTAATTTTTGTGAGCCTTTGTCCAAGGTTATAGATAATAATTCAAAACAAAGTAAAATAAAATTATTGACTTTGAAAAGTTTGAAAACTAAGAAAAATTTGAAACATAAAATAGAAATAAAATGCCTTGACCAAACTGACAGGAGGAGATTTAGTGGAAGGGGGGTAGGGGGAGGGGGGATAGAGAGTTCTGCATCCCCCTGTCCTCCCCCTACTCCTTTTCTGAGATTGATTCAAATTACTCCTTTTTTATTTTATTTCAAGTTAATTTTTTCATTTTCTTATTACTTTTTTTATTTTCAGTAAAAGTATTAAAATGTGCTGTTATGATCACCGTAAGCCTCTAAGGTTTTTTTTTCTTTTTTTGAACAAGGTAACAAAAAAGGTAACAAAAATTCGCAGTCTCTTTAGTGAAAAACAAACCCCTCGATCCCTAGGGGGCGGGGAATGGAACATTCATGGGGGAAAACGAATTTATCACTATACTGCGTAATTAGACTGTAATCGGATAGCACAAGCTTTACGGAAATAACCGAGTTGCAACTGAATATGCGAACCTCTGTTATCTGAAACGATTTTTAGAAATAATAGTCCTGGCCTTTTTACCTGCCAAAGCGAACCCCACCAAGAGCACAAAAAGAAGAAAGGTCGTAGAAGAGCAGCTTGGAGTCATAACTTTCCAACATCGCCAAAATCTCTTCACAAACCATCGATCCAGTTTGTATTTACTCGGGGAGCTGTAACAAATAAGAAGTGAAAATTTTAGGCATATGCAGCAAAAGCAAATATCAATGCATAAGAAGCAGTTTTAGCCGATAAATACCTTCCAAAAGCTGCCGCCATCGCCCGCGTGTTTTATGCAAATGTGCAAAAATTGAGAAAGCCGAAAATCTAAGGAAATATTAAGTCACAGGTATGCGGTCAATAACGCGGGCTCAAGCGCTTGATGAACGAAGGGACGTACATAGCGATAGCTACCCTTAGAACACCAATGATACATGGGCACGCGTTGATACGGAATTTTTCTACGAGTATTCTACTCGATAGCTCACGAGTGAGCGCAGCGATAGAGTGAGATTTCGAGTATAACACGAAAGGGGAAATTCCTTATCAACGCGCGCTCATGTATTAGTTTAGATGATAGTTTTCCTCGTTTCGCCTTTGCAGGAATTCAACTACAATGGAACAGCTGTTGAAAACCTATAATATGGGGAGATGTTACAGCTACAAGGTGACCAGTGTCAGAATATCAGTGATTTTCTTAAACAACTGAAACTAGCCAAACCAGACCAGATACACATGCATGGTTTCTAGAACTTACTCCTTAGTATTGAGGTTTGCATGTACCAAAGTTTATTCTTATTACCAGGTAAGATCTAGAAAACAACTATCAAAGAGAAGGCTGATTCAGATGTAACTAAGAACATTATTTGCGGTAAACTTTAGTACTAATTATGTTTACCTTAAAATCAGAACTTTCTTTTAAAGATTTATGTTTGGCTGTGTGCCTGATGTTGATAGATGGAATGTTGAGATGATGGTATCAGTTCTTTAGTGGCTTCTGTTACTTCATATGTTCAGGATAGCCATGGAGATAGTTTTAACACTAGCCAGTAACTTGGAAAGGTGAGCAATAAAAAAAGAAACATTTCTTACCAGCATTTGTTTGTTTGTTTGTTTGTTTGTTTTTTGTGAATGCAACCACCTGGTTGAGTATTATCATATCTTAAGTCAATGTAAACCTTCAACTCTCACAAAAAACCAAGACAAAATTTCTTCTCACCATATTAATCCAATATCAAGCCAACAAGTGTTGATTGTGAAGAAAAGTTTAAATTAGGGATTATTAGTTGATATAATACCAAATTCTCTAAACTAACATCATAAGAACTGTATAACAGACATTAAGGAGAATTGCTATTGAGATCAGTTGGGATTGAAAGGGTAAATGTATTATTTCCTACCCAGTTTTTGCTAAATTTGAGTGTACACCATGTCACCATCTTTTCACCCAGAGGATAGAAACAACAGAAAATAAAGACATACCATAACTTGTTAGTTAGAACAACTTCTTCAGTCTCCGGACCCTTTCCAAACCAGGTCTTTCCAAACAGAAAGAGCTGGTTTTTGCCAAAACAAAGGGTCACTCACTGAAAGTACTGATGTGCAAGATGTGCTTTCTGATTTGTTTTTAATGCCAGAAGGAATTTGATCATTTTGCATCATCTGAAACCTAAACCTCTCTACACCCTAACATCAGTATCTATATTCTCCATACTTTTCTCTGTACAATTCCTCTGGTACTGACAAGGAGAATTTGTTTGACAATCAAAGTTTCTTAAGTTGGTGATCATTTGTCTTATTCTCGTTATCTTTAGGAATGACTTAGCATTATTTCAATAAGGAGAAATTAAATACTGGTCATTCCAAGGGTTCTAAGTTAAACACAAATATCCACGTGAAAAACTACTGAATACCCAGAAATTCTCTTGTCATGAAACCTTAGCAATCCCAACAGTAATCTGAGAGAATCGTCCAAAAGCAACGATATAAGGCTCGGCACCCTCACGTGCTTCCTCTAGCTCGCCCCAGGCTTCTCTCCGCTCACTTGAAAAGGACCCTGTAGCTGGGAGACGGTCTAAAGGAGGAGAGAAGAGAAAGCTTCCTCCCCTAACGAATTACTGCAGGACAATTAACATGAAAACAAATAAATTCATTTACTTCCTTGAGTCTTCTCCAGTTGTCCTTGGAGCGATTTTATTCGTTTTTCTCACTTGGTTCATAAGCTTACCGGTTGTCCATTGATTCATATCTGACGATGGAGAATATTCCGATGTTCATGTTGGGTAGTTTCTCGCTAAGTGAATTATCCGTGAAAAGGCGCTCGGTGCATACATCAGAAAAACGCTCCACAAATAAGAGATTGTCCCGTGCTTGGTCTAATAGAAATCCTACGTAAATCGGTCAACGATAAGCGTACAAAATGAAAAAGTCATTGATTATACTTAAAGGACCTTTTCCATTGACGCTTACGTTTGGCCGTTGCGTTCAGCGGGCCTGGGGAAGAGAATGACACGGTCGAACAGAAATAGACAACCACATTCTATTGGTATGACTGACGTATGACGTGTGTTGGAAAACACTCAAAGGACGAAAAGAGATGGTTAAAGTTACCTTCGAGACCGGGCACTGAAGGCTACAGGTTGTGGTAAGTACTGTCTGTGAAAAGACCTGATTCACTTCCATCATGATTTGCCTTGACATAGACTATGGAAATCGTTTTGGCTTGGAGCATCGGTTTTTAAAACTGCTTCAAACCTCGTTCTTTTAAGAATGTTGTGATTAATGGCTTGGCGGAAGAGAATTCTGATATGTGCGAAAAAAAATTGGAAGGAATTCATAAGCGGCAAAGTCGGTTTTAATACCGAGACCTACCAAAAGTTGACTAAATTCGACGAATCAACCTATGATTTTAACCGGCACTGGACGTGATGATGATTTCTTTCAAACTACCTTCTCTTAAGTTCCGACATCATCTGAGTTAGCCGAAGGGTTATCTACTAGCGCACCAACCTCGCGCAGAATTCCAACCGTTATGTGAAAAACATGAATTCAGAATGTCCATCACAAAACCTTAAATGAATTCATTTGGTTTGTTCCAGTAAAGGAAAGATAAGGAGTGACGGATATTTGTCATCCTACTTTTGAAGCGCCATTTGATGTACGTAAATGTATTTCGGTTTTGTACGTCTAACTTTTATACCGATGATGGATGTGACTACATGCAAAAATGAAACAATTCACTTTTGTTGCAGGTAACATCCGGTCTAAGTATTCATTGTTTTGGAAGAACCGTTGGATTTTTAACCCGAAATTACAATCAAGACTTCTCACAGTACTGAATTGGAGCTTCTGTCTTAAAACGGTAAGTTATTTGTGCTCGATGACTAACTTTTCATGAGGTGTTCATTTTCCAATGAGTGCGATTTGCGTCATCGAAGACAAAGTTGGTAAATAAGAGGAACGGCTGGGTTGATCAGTGTTGTACCCTTAAAAGACAACACATTGCTAACTTTGTTTATCTCTTAAGGGTGTTAATCTAAATAAGATGGGTATATCGTAACAATCACGTGATGTTATGATCGAGAGGATCTCGCTTGGCTTTATGTAAGTGATGATCAACAAATGATACCGCTTTTAGGGAGGGGAGGGAAAGGGGAATAGTGAACCTGGACCACTCTAACGAAGAGGAATTTTTCTAAGAATGTACAACATCGGTCATCTATCCGAGTTTAAACATTCTCTTTATTCAGGCAAGCGATTTAAACTTGAAAAGTAGTGCAGCGAGCGATTAGCCGCGGGTAATAAAAAGTTGAAAATTCTATGTGAGAGCCGAGGTTAAGAATTACGCCCGAAAACTTGATGAACGAATTTGACTTGAAAAGCCTTTTCCTGAATAGATCAAGTTTTTTGCACAGATTCTTTTTCCTGAAACTCATCGAAACTTCCTTTAAAGAACGAGTGATTTTTCCTTCTGATGTCACGTACTCCTGATTACCCGGAATTTACCGCAAGTTTCACTTTCCAATAGTAATGGATAATTAGGGATTAATTGGATTAATGGGGCAGGGGGCGGAGAAGAGTTTGATAGCAGCATCTAACAAGGATTTAGGAGCAAATCTTGTTCCATTGTCATTACTGATGGGGGAGCTGGTTACAAGCAACCGAAGTTCCTTTTGGTTACCCTCCTGAATAGTCTGAGTAGGTGAAGCTGTTGTTACCATTTTTGATGACTTGAAGGAAAAATGAGAACCGTGATCAAAGATATTTAACAAAAACAGTGAAAACAGGAACTTATGAACTATCAGATAATATTTTAAGGAATTGGGGTTTTCTTTAATCTAAAACGATCGATGATGTACGGGCCGTGAACACTAATACATCAGAACTGGAAAAGATTTGAAAATTAAATATGTCCCTAACACTCAACGGAAGATTGTGCCGGGCGATATTCCGAAAGGAAAAAAACTGTGAAAAATGAAACTTTTCGCCAGTCATCAGCATGACCTCCAATGCTATTCCTAAATCTTAAAATAGCTGGCAGAGGAAGATATCATGAATGTATGAAAATGTTGGTATCGAGTGTTTGTCTCCTGAGTCGTCAAATTATTCTTTGCCAAAACGCAACCGTTTATCATTTTTATGGCAAAAAGAAACAATATTTATTTACTTTATGGTCATTACATTTGCAGTCTATGAAAGGGAACAAAATTGGCCCCCTCAAACAACACGCCATTAATTTTTGTCCGAAATTTGGGCGATAGCCTCTTCAGTGGAAAATAATCGACTCCGAAAGAAAGACTTAGCCAGATTGTTATAAATTTTCTCGGTAATTCTTGGCTTTAAGCCGATTCAATCTGTTTACTTTTAGTTTGATGGCGTGACAAGAAACCGAAAAAAAATCATTTTGATAAATTCCCGACTTTTCACCGCGGATTTTTTTCTTCTTTTTTTCAGGAAAAAGTTGACTTCCTTTGGAAGATCTCGTACAAATCCCTTTACCTTCATCAAAATGAATAAGGAATGTTTCTAACTTCAAAAGGTAATTTGCATCAATGTTGACTGTTTTGGGAATCGAAACAACACTAGTATCGTTATGAAAACTACAAAAGAAAATGATAAGAATGACAACATTAACAGCATATAGAAATCTCACTGTTCACCCCCCTCCCCCCCCGTAGAAACTACGACTTCTTACATTGAATGAATTGAATGAGATGTAGAAAGGAAAAAGCATCATTGTTTACATTTCAGTTCCTTATAATACTTTTCCAAAAACATCGACAAATAATGCGCCTTTTACAAGGATTTCCACAATCAAAATGTAAGATGCAAAACCTGTGAGTTACAATA